TCTCTGCCTCCCAGCTGCAGGATGTCTGCAAACTCAGATGTGTGACTCTTCTTACAGACTGCCTTCATTGTTGTATCTAGACTTCCCCATCCCAATACTAAGTGAATATTACCGATGTTTTCTTTTACTCTCTCCAGATTTCAATTTTTACATCAAAATGTTTCTTTTGTTTTCGTGCAAGGTAGTCATCTAGCTTTTTTCCTTCCATTCAGATAGTTAGCAGTTAGCACGTTGTCCTTACATCATGTATTGATTGGATAAGTCAATCTTTTCCCCGCTGAGTTGGTCACCTACCTTGAAAATCTGACTTTGCCATAGCCAGCACTCTCAGACAGCATGCCTGGCCAGGCCACAACCACTGCGAGTGTGGGCTGTCTCTGTTCTTGGCAGATCACCACCCTGGCCTCCTGCATAGTGGCCTTCTGATCTGCCAGTGGCTGGGCGTCAGCAGCATCGCCATCTTTATGCAACAGATTTGTAGTTATTTAAGTGCTTTGTTTTATTTTGCTCGTGTTTGACAACAAGTGATGGAAAGGGGAGAAAATCAAGGTGCTAGTACTTGGCAACACAACACAGGCCTTCTACATACGATGCAAGATAGAGATCATTTAGGTCTCAAACAAGTGACAAGCTGTGGGGGGGCTCTGCCCGCCAAACCTTTCCCCTTTGGCCCCACTGTCCACCACAGATGAGAATAAGTCTACCAAGACATGATCTGCTTGGGGAGGAAAGGTGGCCAATCTCTCAAAGGAGAAGGACCAGGAGCCTTTTTCTCAATGGGCTTTTATTGTGTTCAATTTGCACAGGAATATAGGCAAAGCTCATTAATCATTGTCAGGCAGTAAGACTGGAACAATAGATAACATTCAAAGAACTATGAGAGCTTATTCTGAGTCAGGGTGAGTTAGCTAAAGGGCTATAAAGCTTTGGGAAACAAACTCATTTCATGCTTGGACCCTTATCAGAAAATTGAGGGCCTTCTTAGCAAAGCAGGTTTCACAGGATTTTATGCATTTTTTTTTCTTAGACCTGATCACCCTGGGAAACTGCCTGTTCCTGCCCAGGGCTACACCACCCTCTGGCATTGTTTCAGGCTCAAGGCAGGCAGGGGAAGTAAGGCAGCCAAGAGATTAGGAGACTTCTTGCAAACAGAATGAGCACTCAGGCTATGTCAAAGCCAAGGGGCAAGGGTCCATCATCCCCTTTTTCTATAGCCCCACAAGTTCTTCCCTGAGGGCCCCTTTGTGACTATGCCTGTCTTAGGTTGTCCCTGCCTTGAGGAATCTTACCTGTCATTGGCTAACCGGTCATGCACTGGGGGCCAGGCAGGGTGAAGTAAAGTGGGCAGAGGTGGTGCTTCTGCCAGGGGGATAAGCTTTGCCTTCTTAGTGGCTTAGGGTCCCAAGGTCTCTCACTCAGTCTTAACCATGGTGGGGGGTGGGGGGGTGGGAGGGAGGGATTACAGCTTCTGAAACCAGGCAGGGTGGTTCCCTACAACAAGCCTTTCTCATCAGCCAGATGATTATTGGACTTGAGCTGGTTACCAAGAGTATGCATGTACAGGAGAAAAGCCAATTTAATGAACACAGATGTGACTGTGGAAATACAAGTTATTCAAGATTACCTAACTAGGAGAGTGAATCCCTTGTCTGAAATGGTGCCCTCCAGGTTGTAAAGATGATCAAAACCCTCTCCAAGCTACACTAGGCCAGAGGCATACCTGCCCAGGTGCCCCTTTTTTAAGATTTCTCGTCTGTGCTCCTGTGGTTTACCTCTGTGTGTCCAAAGGGAGCCTGTCGTCATTCCCCATCCTAACACCTAAAAATAGTGCAAAAGAGAAAAAACACTTGGATATTCTTCAGTCCAGTTCCACAAGTCAAGAACCATTTATGCCTTCTCAATATCCGCATGCAAACCATCACCAAGTCCTGTAGTTGACTGTAGCCAACTGAAAGAAGTCATCACCCTCTTGTACCACCCTGGGTCCAGGAGACCACTCCTGTGCTCGAACCAGGCTGTAGCCTCATGATTAGTCTCTCCACATTTACACTCCACTTCTGTCCAGTTCATTCTCCACATCGCAGCCAGAATAATCTTTTAAAAATGTCAGTCTGACCAGGGCTTCCCCTCTGATTAAACCCCTGCGGCATCATCCCATTTTTCTCACGGTGGCCACAGTCTTCGATATGGCCCAGCCTAACTGGCATTGTGACTTCCTCACACTGGCCTGCCCCCAGACCCCTCTCCTCATTCTGCTCCTTCCCACCTCCGTCTACCTGGGAAATGCCCGTATGCCCCATCCAGTCCCAGAGTTCACTCCCCTGTCCTGAGGTTGCAGGTGAGCCTACCCCACCCCCCATCTGTGTTCTCGTGATGCTGTGCGAACACATGCCTCCTGCCTTGTAGTACTTACCACAGTTTGCGGTCACACACTGAGTTTCACTGATGAGTGTCTGTTTCCCTCCCTAGACTGTAAACCCCATGTGTGCCAGGGCCGCATTTTTACTCATTGTATTCCCAGTGACTGTCACAAAGGGGGTTCTCAGTAAATATTTGTTGCGTGTGGGGTTTTTGTGTTTTTTTTTTAAGATTTTATTTTTTTAGAAAGAGGAAAGGGCGGGAGAAAGGGAGAGAAACATCAATGTGTGGTTACCTCTTGTGTGCCCCCTACTGAGGACATGGCCCACAACCCAGGCATATGCCCTGATTGGGGAATGAACTAGCGACTCTTTGGTTCTCCAGCCCGTACTCAATCCACTGAGCCACACCACCCAGGTGTTGCGTGTGGTTCTTGTTTGCCCTGCTGGCAACCTAACCTAACAAGATTTCCTCAGGAATTCTTTTTATTTTAGGATAGGTACTCTTGGTCCAAAGTAGTTATTTTGTATTTTCATTTAATATTAGATTAAATGACCCTAATAGATTCATTTAATATTAGATTTAATATGCCCATGACATTAAATGAATATTAAATGACCCTAATAGATTCATTTAATATTAGATTTAATATGCCCATGATATTAATAAAATGCTGTCCTTTGCCTGGAGAGGGGTCTTTTCACTTGCCTCACTTGAGACCTGAATCTCCAGAATGGCATAGGCTGCAGTTCTTAGAAACGGTTGGATGTGTCGGTGTGCATTTTCTATATTATTGCGTGCATGCAGTATTGCATGCAGAGATGGTGCTCAGTCTATGTTTATTTCATTATATATTATTTTAATTTGAAAAGCATATAACCACAATATATAGTCTTTGGAGGAAAGGAAAAAATCTATAACACTACCACTCAAACTCAACCACTCTTAGTCTTTTTATATGCATTTTTAACATCTCCATAATCACAATGTATGTAAATTTTTGTGTTCTGCTTTTATCCCCTGGGCAACCTTAATGTTGATTGACCATTGTATTGTATATGGGCCTAATTTATTCAGTTCAGCAAGCATTTATAAAGAATACCACACTGTGCTAGGCACCTGTCTATGTACCTAATACCATCAGAGAAAATACAGAGTTCATACTGTATGATAATAGAATACCAGAATTCCACATTTTTAGTGACATTTTTACTTTACAGGTACATATTAATTTTATGACATCTCCTCTTCATCTCAGAATGAGGAATATGCAAGACTTTTCTCCATCTGATTAACAGCTTCTTTCTTCATTTATTCAACAAATGTATTAGGGCTCACCACATTAGTGTTAGGACTCCCACCACTATTCTGTGGACTGGAGATGTGGTAGTCAATCCGACAAAGCGTCCACACCCTACTGAGAGAAGACAGGCAATGAATGAATGAATGAATGAATGAGTAGAAAGGAAGTAAGGTGAGGGATGAAAATGGTGTGGGGGAGGGGCTGCTCTTTCACAAGGTCAGGGAACCTCTCTGGTGACATGTGAGCAGAGACCTAAGTAGAATGAAGAGTGAGCTGTGCAGCTGTCAGGGAGACTTTTCCCGGCAGAGGATCAGCAGGTTGAAAGGCCCTGAGGTGAATGCTTGATGTGCTCAAGGAAAGACAAGGTGCCAGTAAGGGAAGGGGGTGAACAGCAGCTGAGGTCAGCGAGCTGGGAGCGGGTGCCTGAGAAGAGTTGGAGTGTCTTACAGGCCATGGGAGGCCTCAGGCTTTTCCTCTGAGAGATGGGAAGGAGTGGTTTCGTGGCCTGACCCGACTTGTGCTTTAAAAGGATGGCGTCATTCACCAGCTTTCCTTGTTCCTTTTGCGAGACCTGTTCACTCTGGCCTCTGTCACCTTCTGGGTGAGTCACTGCCCACCAGAACCTGCAAACTTCCTTTCAGACGCGCATATTGTGGCCACAGTGTACAGAGCCCACCCCTTGTGCGTAACCTCTCAGGTGGATGGTCAGCCACACCCTTGGTGTCACACATTCAGGTTTGGTGATTGCTATGCCAAGACATTCGGCATGTTCCAATATTTGAAAAAAATTTTAACTGTGAATTTCTCATTTCTTTATCTTTTGTTCATTAGAGGCAGTTTTTCCTTTCTGAAAATAATGGCTGAGTATCTTTTTTAGATTGTATAAAAATGTATCTCATTAAGGCTTGCTATCAGTTTTGTAACTCTAAAACATGTTTCAACCTCTGATACTCTAGAAATCAGGTTTTTTTTCTTTTTTTGGAGTGGGGGGCGGGGGTTGGTTAACCTAATTATCATGTTCCTTGAGTTGCTTTAGGGTTAGATCTGTTACGTGCCAAAGTTAGATCCCATTAGTAGGCTTAAAACGGGAGCTTAAAATTTATTTCTGGCTCTGGCAGGTGTGGCTCAGTGGATTGGGTGCCAGCCTGCAAATTGAAAGGTCATCTGTTCGATTCCCAGTTGGGAACTGATGTATCTCTTGCACACTGAGGTTTCTTTGCCATCCCTTCCCCTCTCTCTAAAAACAAATAAATAAAATCTTGTCTTTAAATGTTTATTTCTGAAAGAACAAACTGGTTGCTTAGGGTAATTGATTTCTTTTGTTTTCTTTCTGTTACAGGAGGAGACATCCCGGCTTTCCCAGATTGGGAGGAAAAATATGGAATGTGTTTTACCGCTGACTGAACACAGCCAAATGAACTGTACTGACAGTAGTTTGAAAACCAGCAGTTAGCAGTTTGCTCAGGCTCTAACATTGTCCAGCACTTTCCAGAGCAAACTCACTGTTTACAAGAACTCTCAGCCTTACGACGTTTATAACCTCAAGCTTCGTTTATTGAAAATATTTCTGCGAAAGAAAAGTACCCAGAGTCTACTTTTCAAAATGGCCTTGAATGAATATTTGTGGATGGTCATTTTAGGTTTTATCATAGCTTTCATTTTGGCATTTTCTGTTGGTGCAAATGATGTTGCCAATTCCTTTGGTACCGCCGTGGGCTCCGGCGTGGTGACCTTGAGGCAGGCGTGCATTTTGGCTTCGATATTCGAAACCACAGGCTCAGTGTTGTTGGGAGCCAAAGTAGGAGAGACCATCCGAAAAGGTATCATCGACGTGAACCTGTACAACGAGACAGTAGAAACACTAATGGCTGGGGAAGTGAGCGCGATGGTTGGTAAGTAGCATTCCCCTTCATACCTGTGGGAGGTGTGTCCACTGACCCTCTTCTCTGACGTGCTTCTGTCGTATCCACAGATGTGCTTTTTGCTTAGCTTTGTAAAAACTGGGTGTGATGTTTTATATTTGCTGTATCTTATATTTACTTTCTCTATTTTAATTTGTTTTGTGTGTGTGTATATGTTCGAATATCAAGCAAGCACATTTTCTCAAAGTTTTAGCAAACTTGGTTAAAATAGATTTCAGCTGAGTACTTTCCCTAAAGTATACAGACAGATATTTGAAGGGCAGCTCTTTGTCGTTTTTAAAGTTGTTTGAAAGTTATTAGAGAAAGAGCAAGTCTAAGAAAGTGTGTTTGAAAGATTTACTTAAGAGATTTCCTTTAAGGTTTATTTCTTTTCACAGATTTTTAAGAGTCAATTAGGATACTGTGTTTTGAAAACTTGGATGCCAGTAAAACAATACTTATTTATTTAACTTGTATTCTCAGTTTAAGTGTTTGTTTCAAGAAATTCTGGTCTTCTACATTATTTGTAATTCTTTCGTTGGCTTTTGTGCTGATTTTCTGATTCTCCTCCGGGAGCTCCATTTGGTATGTTTATTTTGTTTTCTGGTCAACAGGCCATTTGCATGTCAGCTGTTTATGGTAGCCTTTCACTGGTGGTTTCGGGTTGTCAGTGAGAGCAAAGTGCTGAAGGCAGTGAAGTGTGTTAGTAAGAGACTGACTGGCCAGCAGGTGCGTTTCCTCCGTCGCCCAAGGTGACCGTAGCCTCCAAGCAGTGTGGGGCCCTTCCGTCACTGCAGCTGAGGAGAAGGTTTCAGGCAGAGATGCCTTAAGGACAGCTGACTGGACTCTTTCTCCGCTTGCTTCTAGGTAGAGATGGCGTCACAGCAGACAGCTGATCAATATGGGTAATTGGGTTAAGGAGAAGAGGGTTAGAGAGGAATTCTACCACCTTCTGCTTTCAACAGGACATATCCTTTTGTAGGAAGAGTCCTGCAGTAGGAGGTAAGATGCTGGTGTACCAAGAACACAGCTACATTCCACAGGTTCTGAGTTGTTTATTGTCACTGGCATTATTTAAACACCCAGGATGTGGAAATTATTTGCCAAATTTAAGATCATCCATTATCTTTTTATTACAGCAAGTTAGTCTGAGAAGTTGTTGAGGCATTTGACCAGAGCAGACCAGTGTACTAAAGTATTAAGTACTGCTATGCCTCGTAGGCTGGTGAGTTCCTGGGTCTCATGCTAAGGAGTTCCTGTGTCTTGGCTGAACATTCTCTGTGTTAAAGATGTAGGGTTCATGGTTGCTTCAATTCCAACAGCTATTGTAATGACTGAATTTTATTTAACTTCAGTGAACACATATTTTTATTATAGTCAGATGTAACGGAAAATTCTCATAGAAAAATAAGTTATTTGTAAAATTCACCCTTGTATAGCTGTGATAGATACCTAAGACATAATCATACTGACCTGAAATTAAGATTTTTTTTTATTTGGCCAGGATGATGTGGGCAAGATATGTTGAAGGGAAGGGAGAAATAAAGAGAACTGATAAAATTAAACAGTAATGAGGCTTCTCCTTTCACCTGGGTGAAACTTTTGAGGCATGGCGGTGCTCAGTGAAGAGACCTGTGAGTGAGGCCGCACGGGGGCCCTCAGTGCAACAGAAAGTCCTGTGAGCTGAGCTTCTGTGGCCACCGACTTTTTGTGCGGACAGTTTTCCCACCCCGGCCTTTGGCCCTTTGCTGAAAGAATGAAAAATACTTACCTCAACTAGAATTTAGGTTAACCAAAGCAATTTGAGGTTTTGCTTGATTTTGTTTGCTTTGGTTTCTTTCTTCTTATTCTCCTCCTCCTCGTGTGTGTGTGTGTGGGGGGGGGGTGGTTTAGGGGAATCTCAAAGCCTTTTTTCTTGGGAGTTTATGTGGGTTACCTAGATTTTCAAAATTGGGCTCCTTGCAAACGGGAGCTATGTATATTTGAGATGGCGGTATAATTATTATTGGCCAAAATCAGAACTGATTCTGTTCAGATATCCAAATTCTCCAACCTTCTTTTCTAAATTCTCCATCCATGTCTTTTCTCCCTCTCCTCCTCCTATTCTTTTACTCTATTTCATTTTTTTTTCTCCTTTTTCTTTAGAAACCTCTCCCCAAGCCCGTGGGTCTCTGTGCTCTCTGATAGAGTTTTGGTGGCATTGGTTGGTTGAGTGGAAGAAATTGTTCGTGCCAGCTAAGCTTGAACACGTTGTCTTTTGGGACTCTAGCTCAGCTCTAAAGCAATAGTCAATCCACTTAGTATGAAACCATCAATGGTCCCAAAAATCTACCGAGAATTCCCAAGTCACCGTCTTCCCATGGCAGTACCCACAACGGCATGAAGAAGCCATCTCCTTGAGCCACACTGAGCGGTGCCTGGTCCCCGTAAAGCTCGCTCTCTGCCCCTGAGCCCGAGCCTTCTCCCTGCCCTGTGCTCACTCCCGCCTGCCTCTCTGCCTTGTTGGTAGCCCCGAACCCGAACCGTTCTCTGCCCTTCTTTCATCTTCCCAGGAACCTGTGGTCTCAGGGGTGCCCATTTCCCCCCATCTTTCCCTAGGTTTTGTCTTATACCCTTAATCCTGTGCTTCGCCCCTTTTAGTAGCCTACCATTGTTTTAGGTTAAAATATAGTTCTTTTTCCCACTGCTTTTCTTAACATGAATGTAATCCCATTTGTCTTCAGAAATTCCTGAGGTTAATGAGGCCTCTCGCCCTCCCTCATTTTGCTAGGTCCCCGCAAATACCTGCCTCCTTTTCCCTCTCCTTTCAGCCGCTCCTTCACTCCTCCGCACGGGCGCTCTTCCTTTCCTTTCCTCCTTGCCTCTCTCGGGCAGCCCCCACCCCCCTGCCTTTCCTCACAAACCCTGCTGCTCCAGGACATATATTACAAAGTCAGCCAGAGGAAAAATCACAGCTTTCAGGAAGGAAAAATCTCATGGTCTGAATCCCTGTGGGTGAGTTTATGCCATTCTCTTAACATCACTAGGTTATTTTAATTTCTGTAAGAGTAGAAATCACCAAATTTGCTTTTTAAGTTACGGTTCTGTGCCATGAAACATGCCCCAGACTCTGGCTCTCCTTTTAAAAGCAACCACGCAGTCCCTGTGAAGGCCTGAGGCACTGTCTGCCGGGAAGCCTGGGAGCTGCCGTGCTGCCCGTCCCGGTCCCGGTTTGGTCCCGGTTTGGCAGCGCGGGCGGCCCCTACTCCTTCCAGCGCAGGCTCAGGTTTAGACACGGGGCCACAGCCCGCTGCAGCTCAAAGGTAAGCACGCCCGGCCTCACGGAGCGGCTGTCAGCGTTGCTCACGAGCGAGGACCTGCCCAGCCTTCAGTGACCCTCTGTAACTCAGTGTTTTTGAAGCAAATGCCAGGGGACTGCTGGGAGGCGCTGCTGTTGCCAAGCAACCGGATTTCCAGAATTAACATTTGGGATTAATAATAACAGGCCCTGCTTATCGGCCAAACTCTTTGTTCTCTATATGAACTTTTCAACAACTGTGTCTGAAAGTGATCTCTCCCCTCTGATGCTTTCAATACTCACGGCAGAATTTGATCTGCTTATGAAAATATCTGAAGTGAACTATAGCCCAGAAAAACATTAAGCCTGGAAAAGAATGGTGAAATTGAGGTAAAGGACACAAAGCCATGACTAAGGCATCCTCTTAACTCCTAAGAATAAGAAGGCTTGAGAAAACCCACAAGGAAAAGCTCCATCGTTCCGGGCAGGGGCTGAGAGCAGATGACCAACTTGGGGTTAAATGTCATAGTTCCTTCTCACGTGAGAGGCAGAAATCAAACAGCAAAGTGGTGTTCAACTGTCTCTGGTACAGACTAGTGTGGTACAGCCGATCTCTAGCCCCCCTTATTATGTGACTTCACGGCATAGCTGCAAGGAAACCTTTCCCAGTATGCAGCCTTTGTTGTTTCTGTGTTTATTCGAGCCCTTAATTTCTCGCTTGATCCTGGTCACACTTCACATCAGAACAAGTTCATCATCGGCTCCCTTACCTAAAGGTGACAACGCAGTTGATAACTGGCATTAAGAGATTTTTCTTAAATACTTTTCTTTAAATAAATCATCATTATCCCTTCAGTGTTGAAGACTTTTTCTTTGACTAAAGTTCATTGAGTAATTTTGTCAGGACATTAGCACTTTGTAAAGACACCACCCACAGAGAGTTAACACCAAGGAGTGTTGTATGGAGGAAAGTGATTTGTAGTTCTTCCTTTTGTGGCTGTTTGAGATGCTGTGCTCTGTACCTGACTTTTTTTTTTTTTTTCATCTTTCAACCTCTAGGTTCAGCTGTTTGGCAGCTGATTGCATCCTTTCTGAGACTTCCGATCTCGGGGACTCACTGCATCGTTGGTGCAACTATAGGGTTCTCGCTTGTTGCGATTGGCACAAAAGGTGTGCAATGGATGGAGCTTGTCAAGATCGGTAATGACCATTTTCTTTTATCTATAAAAAGGAAAGTTTACATTCTCTAGAGTTAGTTTCATTAGAAGTTACCATTATATTTCTTCCTTCAAATGTTAAGGTTCAGAAGACCTATATGGGTAATGTATTTCTCCTTAAAATTTCTATTAATGGGGATTGTGAACTATTATGTGTTAGAGAATTTTTTACCTACAAACACTTTTTAAAAGATTTTATTTATTTATTTTTAGAGAGAGGGGTAGGGAAGGGTAAAGCAAGGGAGAGAAACATCAATGTGTGGTTGCCTCTCACACGCCCCCTACTGGGGACCTGGCCCCAGGCCTGTCCGTGGTGCTGCGGGGCTGCGAGTGAGTATCTGGGGCAGGTGTGGGTCCTGAGGGCTGGCTCTGCCCACGCAGCAGCATTCCTTAGGGCCTGCGTGGCAATGAATAGTTCTGGGAATATTTATTAATGTATGTGCTGTATACTTGCTGCGATTGTGTTATATAAATGTGACTTGAATTATGTAGCATTTTAACATTCATTATACCTTTCTTTAAATTATTCAGTTGCTTCTTGGTTTATATCTCCACTGTTGTCTGGTTTCATGTCTGGCATGCTGTTTGTACTGATCAGAGTTTTCATCTTAAAAAAGGTGAGTGATGCTGTTTTTTTTTTAAATTAAGTTTGGGAACTAATTTTGGTCCTATTCAAAAGAAATTAATCATGAGAAGGGTCAGAGGAATAGTTGTATTTTTACGTTTTTCAGGCACAGCACCCGGGAGTTAGAATCAGATTTTCCTTTAAAGTAGGGGGAAAGATTCAAGGTGAAGTGCCCAAGGGATCCCCTGGAACCCAGCATTGTAAATACTGTCTCTTCCCCTAGGAGTGAGTTAATGAGTTGGCACTCCCAGGCATTGCGCCTGCACCTCGAAAGGGAAAGGTAATTATTTCCTGGCTGTTAATTAGATTTTGAAACTGTTACTAAAAACAGCTGGAGAATTCCTTTACCCAAAAGTAAGGTGTTCTTTCTTTCTTCCCCTTCCTTCCCCTTCTTCCTTCCTCCTTCCTTCCTTCCTTCCTTCCTTCCTTCCTTCCTTCCTTCCTTCCTTCCCTTCCCTCCCTCCCTCCCTCCCTCCCTCCCTCCCTCCCTCCCTCCTTCCCTCCTTCCCTCCTTCCCTCCTTCCTGCCTTCCTGCCTTCCTTCCTTTCTTCCAATGGAGAAGACAAGCTTGAGACACTGACTTTTTCCTGTCCTTAAGAGGATAAAAATAAAGAAATATACCTATTGGAGGTGTAGTTCATCAAAAATAAAATGAGATTAAAATTAAAATTTACTGAGATTAGTATTCTAGAAAAAAATTGATGTACTTTTTTGACTGTCAAGGGGCTGTTGCAGTATTGTATGAGCCAGAAGGCAGGTCTGGATCTCTCTGTTGCGGCACTTGCTGAGTGCATCAGGAACACACCGTCTTCGGCTGTATCCTCAGTTAAAGATGCAGCTGTGTTTTCTTGGCATTGCCTAGCAGTCCAGCGAAGGACTCATTCTCTTGGATGAGTACAAACTTACCATTCCTCTCCCTGGGCTCCTGCCATACTACTATTTGTTTACATGTGGGAGGCGTCAGCCCCTCTTGCCTGTTAGCCTTCACCTTTTTCATTTCCTCTGTCCGGAACCCGTTTTTTCCTGGCAACCTCCTGCTGCTCTTCAGCTTCCAGGTGTTGCTTCCCAGGAAGCCTTTCCTCTCCCACCCCAGGTTCTGGCTGGTTCCTCTCTTCTAAACCCACAGCACTGTGTGCCTTCTCATCCCTGCACTCTCATGCTGTGTACTGTGTTTTATTTCTTGCTAAGTGGTCTCTTTGCTATTTTACTATGAGATCTGTGAGAATAGAAACCATAACTGTCTCGTTCCCTTTTTATGTCAGTGCCCAGCACTGTGCTTAGCACCTCAGAGACACTGGTTGAATGTTGAGAGGAAATGGTGGATGCTTGGGAAGGTGGCAGAGGATGGGAGGGTGAGAGGGAAAGAGGGGGCAGGATGGAGGGAAGAAGACAGATCTCAATGAGGCAGCTGTCACTTGAGTTATAAGAATAGGTTATATTAGAAAACATGGTGATTTGATTAAAAACATACACTCAGGACTTACACACCTTCAGAAGTTATTGGCTGGGAGTCTTTCTTTGGCAGCCAGTGTCCCCAAGAAAACAGCGTTTTGGAAGCCAGAGGCAGCGGGCATTTGAGCATCCCAGGGGTTTGTTTCCGGTTCAGCCAGGCTGCTTGTCACCGGGGGACGTGGCAGATCAGAACACTGCTGTGCCCCTCGTCCCAGCTCCTGCCCGCTGGCTCTTCGTGTTTGCTGTTCTCCACCTGCCCTGCCTGATCTGGGGGTGACTGTCATGCAGTTGAATCACTTCCTACCCCTGCTCTGGCTGTTCCTTACACCTCACTGCTGGTCAAACCCAGCCTCTTGACAGGTGCTGATGGCTGCTTGAGACGCTGCAGAATAGGTTCTCGATGAGGTGTACAGTTCTGCAAACCCACCTGGTTTCCACACATGCACGTCTGCACTTGATAGTAGAAATCTTTGAGGCAGACTCTACTTATTCTCACTCCTGTCGCTCACACCAGTGTTTATACTGGAATTTCCTTTTGTCACGGCAAGGTAGCGATTCCTAGGGATGTATGAATGTCTTACATGGTTATTAGAAACTATAGTCATTTTTAATTACTCAGGCAACATCTATGTGCCAGTGCTGCATCGTGGAGTTCTCAGCCCCTATTTTTGTTTAAAACTCCTTTGTAGATCTGCTTAAAACTCTTTCTCGTATTCTCTTAGGTGTTCTTGAGCCTAAAACGTGTGCAGCACCTTCCTCGTTGTGTAGTGGGGGATGCTGTACCAGGACCCTAACGTTATAAATAAATGTTTTGTTAAAGAGCCCACAGTTTTTAAACTTTTAATAATTGAAGGTTAAATACTGTACCTCATGAGAAGTTTTAAAAATCGTAACACTTGGTAATGTATTTGCTTTATGTATTTTGATAGAGCCAAAATGTACTGTGCAGTAGAGTGACGTAAACCCTATGGCCACACGGTGGTGTTCAAGTCGTTTGACTCTCGTTGGGCATCCTCAGAGGGTCGAGTCTCAGAGCATTTGTTGAAAGTAGATTTTTTCCTCAGTTAGAGTAGTGAGTGTCACAGCTTTTGAAGCAGATGCCAGTCTCTGGGCCTCGGTCCCCAGGAGCCAGCCTAACCTAACAGTTTTTCTCTGTTTCTAAAACTGACGTCAGCTCATGTGATCCCAGTGCTTTAAAGCGTCTGCTGGGCACAATAGTGGGCTCTTTGAAACAGCATTTGTGTAGGAGAGGCGGCCCGAGCTGATGGCTGTTTTTGTGAAGCAGTCATGTGGCAGTGACACGGCCAGCTGGTTGGGCCACGTCTGCGTTTGGAAGACTTTTCTGTAACAGTGTTTTGTTTCGTGTTGCCTGTGTTGGCTCCAGATGCTTCTTGAATCCTGACCTTCTACTTTATCTCGTTATCGCGCAGGAGGACCCTGTTCCCAATGGCCTCCGGGCACTCCCGGTGTTCTATGCGGCCACAATAGCAATAAACGTCTTCTCCATCATGTACACAGGAGCACCAGGTAAGAATTCCTTGGGAGCTTGCATCCAGCGGGCCAGGTGCATTACCAGCTGACGGTTTGGTGTATTGGGTGCTGGCCCTGTTGCATCCTGACAGTGTAAAGCATCACTCGGGGTCATTAGGGAGTCGGTAAAAGAGTAGGAAACACATTTGCTAGTTTTAAATATTCAAGAGATATGTGAAGTACGAAGGTAGTAGCCTTTCAAGTTCAAAAAAAGAAAACTGAAATTCTCGTTCTGCCATCTACCCAGCTGTGTTGCCTTAGTGGTTCCCTTGCGCCTTCTGAGTCTCGGAACAGGGTCTAACTCCTTGTGCCTCCGTGAGCTGGGCCTGGGGGTGGGAGCACATGAGAGCAGGATGGTCCACACATCCACACACTTGGAGACATACCAGGGGGCGCTACATGTAGTGAGAGCACAAATGTCAACCCCCTGGAAACTGTCAGACCAATGAATCCAGCAACTAGAAGCTTCACGTTTTTTTCAGATACTAAAAACCAAAGGTAATTTGCTTTTCAGAATTACTCCTTTTTTTCTGATTCTGATGGCTTTTGTTCTTTTTTACAGGAGTTTGGGGCTTGCGGGGGCAGGGTTAAAAGTTCTGTCCCTTTCCATTTTTAAGGGGTAAAGAAACATTTATGTGCACTGTTCTTATTTGCACACATTTCATTGAACTGTGGTAACACTCGAACTCAGTATTTCTGGGCGTGTTGGTAGAGAGGATTCTTCCTGTCTCTCTCTGAGGCGCACCTCCTGCAGCGGATCCTGAATGTGCCCATTGCTGTGAAGGGTCTGGACCAGCACATATGTCTTTCCTCTTGTTAATGTCCATTATGGATTCAGTTTCAGTTATTGGCCACACCTGACAAAACTCTTCCTCTCTGATCAAAGGATAAAATTTCTTTAAATTGGCATGTCACATTATAGTGGAAAAAGGCTCTCTTCCAAAATAGGGGGAAATCCTTTATGAATTTCTCAAACTAGGCTTTTTCAAAGTAGTTTTACTTAAATTTAAATAGCCATAGGTGATTATATGCTGTGCACTTAAGTGCTATAAACAAAAAGCTTTCTGAGTGATTCTTACCAGTACATGGCTACTTTGGCATCTCTGCAGCATCCAAAACATTGATCTTGGCCCAGAGACATGAAAAAATGCTCAACACCACTAGCCATCAGAGATGCAAAATAAAACCACAATGAGATACCACATCACACCTGTCACAATGGCCATCATTCATGAATCAACAAACAACAAGTGCTGGCAAGGATGCAGAGAAAAGGGAGCCCTAGTGCACTGTTAGTGGGCATGCAGACTGGCGCAGCCACTGTGGGAAAAAGTATGGAGTTTCCTCAAAAAAATTAAAAATGGAACTGCCTTTGATCCAGTAGTTCCACTGCTAGGACTATATCCTAAGAATCCCAAAACACCAATTCAAAAGAACCTGTGCACCCCAATGTTCATAGCAGCATTATTTACAGCCTAAGTGCCCATCAGTAGATGAGTGGATTAAAAAAACTGGTACATTTACATAAAGGAATACTATGCAGCAGTAAAAAAGAAGAAGGAATTCTTACCTTTTGCGAGAGCATGGATGGAACTGGAGAGCATTATGCTAAGTGAAATAAATAAGCCAGTCATTTGAAAGACAAATACCATATGATTGCACTTTAAAGTGGAATCTAATGAACAAAATAAACTAATGGGTAAAATAGAGCCAGAGGCATAGAAACATGAAACAGACTGACAGCTCTAAGAAGGGAGGGGGAGGTGGGGACTAGTTAAAGGACGTTTGTGAATGACCCATGGACATGGGCAGCAGTGTGGGGGCTGACTGTGGGAGTTGGGGGGGCGTGGGCTGGATGGATGGGGGCAAAAAGGGGAAAATTGGGATAACTGTAATAGCATAAGCAATAAAATTTTTAAATTAAAACAAACCATTGATTTTAAAGTTTTGAACACTTGTGATGAGAATTTCCAGCCTGCCTGTGAAGCATCACAGCCGCCTTAAGTTAGCGAAAAGCCTAAAGCTGAAGGTTGTGGTGACTGGAAAGAGGAAACCCCAGCCGCAGATACCGGCGGCCTGCTGGCCCTTCGGGTTTTGTAGTTCACGGACTGGGGAGTATGTTTGTCACGGTTTCCACGACTGTGAAGGAGACTCAGAGGCAGAGAAAAAGCACAGCACCGGGCGGGCCCTGGAGCCCGGGTGGGGAGCGAACTGTGGCAGAGGGAATCTCTGTCCACCCTCTGCTTGCCCGTGAGCCCTTGTTCTCAATTTCCTTCTGGCTCTCAGAGCTCAGTTAGCCAGAGCGAAGGCTGAGCCGCTGTCAGTAGCCAGAAGCCTCTGGCCTAGCGGTTGAGGACACTGCGCCAGGCGAGGCTGGGGCGTCTCTGTAGGGCCCCGGCCTGGAAACGGGCGCTGGTGCAAGTACGGACGGTTTCTTTTTTGCTGCTGTGTGTTTTCCCTGCCCGCTCTTCTCATTACTCTCCAGTTCTTCCAAATGTCAGAAGTAGTCAACTGTGTGATTTTTTTAAATTAAAATTTGACTTCTTCTATTTGCTATATATTTTTTCATCTCTTCTTGTTTTCCTCATCTTCTGCTGCACTTCACTGCAAATTTGCTGAAAGGATCATCTTACTGGGGGAGTAAATTATTCTAAAGAAAAGGAAACGGTGTAATGGATGAGACACTAAGGATTATATAAATATTTCATAGCAATGTGAGAAACAATATAAATGCTAACTTTTATTGAGCTGAGTTTTACATGAATTAATCCTTTCAGTTCTCTGAATTCCTTTAGGAAATTGGTAATGCTGCTTTTCTGGCTCCACTTTACAAGTGGGAAACTGAGGCACAGCCATACCAGGTACCCAAGGTCATATAAATAGTAAGGCACAGAACCAAAATTCGAAGCAGGCAGTCTAGACCCAAACCACAGGCTCTTAATTATGACATCAATAGACTAAGATAGAAAAGTCACACTTAACTTCCGACTTTCGTAAGTGGCATGGGTACGATACTTGGTGTGTAGTAGTACCTGGTACCTAGGGTCACCATTGATGAAAGTCAGAATAAATCAGCCTTAATGCATTCTTCTGTTCTCATCACTCCCTTTAAAAATGGCTTCCCGTATATTTGGAAACCTGGCTATATGTGTTTTAATATATTTAATATACAGCTACTATGGATAAAGTAGTTACCTCTTTAATTGGGAATATTTAGAAAATCTGTCCAAGAATCCTGCAGCTCCTTGTCCCACTGAAAGCACAAACCGTATTCTCAGTGCTAGGGTTCAGGGTAAGTACTTTGGCTGGGTGACTGTGCTGTCACGAACCTCCTGTCTCCTCACCTCCCTGACGCCATCACACAGTGAGGGCAGTGGTGGGGCCTCCATGAAAGGGACGTTGTGTGGCGTGAGGTGACGTGGGCAGGACACCTACTACAGTGCCTGGCACGTGACGACTCCTGATGCGTGTTAGGGGCCGTTTTATTGCCGTCAGCCTTAAGTAGCCTCCTCTTCTTGGTCTTAAGTCACCGACATATCCCGAGTCATCCAATCTTTCTATGTTTTCCACACTTTCTGGTATAAAGTCTTTCTTTCGTGAACTTTCCTGGGGGCTTGCCTAGAGGAGAAGGAAGAAGACGGACTTGGCTGAAGGACTTGCTGTTTTGCTCCTCCACGAAGTCAGAAAAGGACTTTCACATGTTTTGCTTTGTTGTGACTGTTTCCAGAATCGCTTGTAGGCGAGTTTAAATCTTTCTTTTATTTAAACATCGAAGGTTGATGCTTGCCCTTCAAACTGAGCTTTAATTACGTACTATTTCCTTATGTGGAGCCTCTCTGCCTGTCCCGCTGTCTCACAAGTAGCTGTGGGGCCATCTTTGGTGACAGGGCTGAGCTGAGAAGGGTCCCTTCAGCAGTTCTGCTCCTCGAAGAATGAATACTTCTGCCTTTATGCCAGTCTGGGGTTCATCTTCCCGGGTCCCTTTCTTCCTTAGGATGTTTCCATTCGACACACTGGGGACTCAGAGATAAAGGGGAAGAGTGAAGCTGTTTTTGACAGAAACGAGTGATGATGTTAATCTTACGCAGCTTCAACTTCAAGAGCTTTTGATAAATGGCATTTTTATGCATGGAGATGAGCTCAGTGGGGATCCACTGGATGTTGAGTTATAGTGTTTTATTTTGATTTCCTCTGTTCCTCTACTCTTAAGTTATTTTGAAGTTGTTTATATCTTTGGCTTAGTGTGATTTGTTTTACTTTGCATTTGACATGACTTTTCTCAACTAAAAGTCAATCTTATACTTCAAAGACTGAGGTAGTACCTTAAAAAACTGTCTTTGCATTTTTTTTGTCCTTTAAAAATAATTTGCAAGGAGCAAAAATAACTTTAGTAAATAAAGTGCTCACTTGGGTTGGATACAAGCCTGAAGTCTATTTTTAATGAGAAAGTCTTCAGTTGTGTGGGGCCTGGTTTTTGTTCAGCCTTTAAAGGATGAATGGTGAAGTTCGCCGCACGCCTCTCGGAGCAGTCTGAGCAGATCAGCTAACGAAGCCTCTGGTGCTGATGTAGAACTTACATGAGTCAAAGTGTGGTCTCTGGACCAGCAGCATCGGCCTCTCGTGGTGCCTGGTCAAAACGCAGGCTCTCCGGCCCAGCCCTAGCGCCCCCCGCAGCTCCGGGGGTTTGCGTTAGACCAGGGTCCTGGTCATTCTGACACACGGGGCAGCTGGAGAACCACACTCTAGTCACTTCTTTCCCATAACCTTTTACCACAAACTCTGCCGACTAGTCATGGCTCTTACGTGAGAGATGCTCTTCAAAAGTTCTCACCAGCAATGTCTGCTCACTCTTTTACACCAGCAGATGAGTTCTGAAACTTAACCAGGCTTGGTTTCTGGCTTCTTTGGAGCAGACTGAACCTGAGACAGAGCGGATACTCCCCATGCTCCTCCTTCTCCTCCTTCCCCGCTTCTTCCAACACCTGCCCTCCACCCCGCTCCTCCTCCCTTCTTGTCCCCTTCTCATCCTCTTCCCATCCTCTTCCTCCAGCTGTAGCTCTTCTGATCCAGGCGTGAGGAAGTGAGAGCATCAGTAACCCCTCAGGCCCCCGCTGGCTTTATAAGAAGGAGCTTTGTTCCCAGAGGACTCTGTATTCCATGTTACCATGTTGAAGCTTTGAGCTGTGGAGAAACCAGATGTTTCCACGGCAGTGACTCTTGACCCTGGGTCAGGAAGCTCTGGGTGAGAAGAACCTCCAGTTATCACCAAGGGTTGGGTTCAAAGCAGCGTGATTTAAAGTCATTTCCTTTTCAGAATTATTTTAAATGAACCATGGTTTGAGAAAGAAAAAAAAAGATCCTAGTTATAGGACAAATTAAGATACAGAATTTTTAGTTTTAAAAGAATGCTTCATTTTCTTAAAGAATTGCTTTAGGATTTCTTTTATGCCTTTAATTCTCTCTGAGGCGTTGAACAGGTTAATCTAAAACAAACCACACAAAAACTAGCAACTCAGTTTATGACATAAGGGAGGACTAGTAAAGTGTTGTTCTGCAAGTGAGGTGAGTGCATGCGTGTTACTGGGGAAAGATGTACAAAGTTTATTGTTGTGTGATGAAAGCACAGAACAGTATATACAGTGAGATCCTACATCTGTTAAGGTAAGAAAAAGAAAAAAATTCTGGCAAACACTGTACTGTGTGTTGTTTCATATCTAAATAATGCCTGGAAACATACATACCGGAGTAGAGAACAGTGTTTCTCTGGGAAGTGGGTTCAAGAGGGGAGCATGATGAGGAATTTTCACGTTGGTACATCGTGCAACTTTTGTGCTAATACTTTCATAATAAGCATATGTTATGAAATTATACTAAAAGGAGGGAGAGAAAAGAAGGAAAGTTGTGGGGAGAGGCTGATGAGTAGAGGTATAAGGGAATTCCTGTGGACTAAAGCCTTGTTCCTGGTATAGGAGTTTTATTTTACAGACTCTGAGGATGGTTGTCATGTATGGAGAGCCAGGGGTGTGACAAAGTGGCGGCCCCGGCAGACTGTGCTTGTTTCTGAAACATTCATGTACTTCTTCCCTGCGTCACTTGAATCATTGGATCTTGGAAGGTTGAGAATAGGATTGTAAAGATGGTTGAGGTTAGAGCTAAATCACTACTCATCGTATCTCTGCTGTTCAGACACTGGAAAGGGCAGGAGATGAAAGGCCGCTGGGAGGCTGGAGCGGAGGACGGGGGTTGGGAGCTCCCGGCCTCGGTTCCTGGCAGCCACTCCTGGCCGGGCCAGCCGAGCAATTCAAGCCGTGTCCTCGTTTGCCTGTCCGCAGCGTGCAGGGCGCGCCAGGCCTCACCGCTCTCCTGAGGGGTGATTATTGGGAACCAGCTTGGGATCCTCACAGAAAGACAATTCAATGCAAAGGGTTTCTGTTAAAAATTTTTGTTATCTGTAAATTTTCAGAAGAAAACAGTTCTCCCTTGGGTGTATATTGGTTTTAGTACCTCCCCATGCTGAATTTTTGTATTTAATTATTTTTTATCCATGAAACTTGATTTTGTGTATCTAGCACAATTCAGTTATTTATAACATAATGTCAGTTTGCATTTCTCAGATGCAGCCTTTAAAAGTAAACCCCGTGCTCTCCTGACGCTCTGTCACATGGCCCACCTGCTGGGATGCCCCGGTGGGCTCCAGAGCCCGCCCCTGTGCTGTTCCTCTCTCCTGTCTCACCGCCAGCGACTTTTGCCTGTTTGCCCACCTCCCTTCACTCTTCTTCCTCCTCGGTATTCTGCCGTCTCCCCACCCCTCCACCTTCAGCGATGTGTTTGTCCGCTGCCCTCCCTTCTAGCTCCTTGTCACTCGGAGGGTAACTTCAGAGCTTTCTGGCCATGCCCCAGACCCAACTAATGACAAAGGCGATTCTGACAGTCAAGTTTCAAGGAACAGGTGACATTAAGGCTTATTGTCTAAGAAATGGATCAAAAACTTATAACTGACCTCCGTTTCTCACTTTTGGACGTTGGTCCTGACACTGTCTAGATTCCCACTTGGCCCCAGCAGAGGGCACGGAGTGGGCTTGGAAGGAGCTCCTAAAGCAGCCCTTCTCTGCTTCTGCTGTGGGCTCTGCATGGCACGGGTGGAAAAGTCGGTCTGAGAGCAAAGGGGTTCACTCGTTATGTATCTCCCGAATTGTTCCTCTCTCCCCACAGGGTCCGGGGCTCGCCTCTCGCAGATCAGGTTAGCACAATGAAGTCAAAAGTAGCACAGCCAACAGTTTTACCACCAGCTAAACCGGGGAGCCAAAGGAAACATGGGAAACCTCTTCAAAACCCAAATACTTTTCAGCTGTAGGAGTGATGCATGTTGATGTTAGTCGGTCAGTTTGATGTTGGTAATGAACAGTTACCATTCAGCTTGGCAAGAAGCAGCTTTGGAGTGATCCTTTATCACATGCATTGGACACTGACATGAAGATAGAAAGCAGGAGCCAGGAAGCCGTGGCCTGGTGAGGTCAGTCCCCGTGGGTTTTTAAGCAGCTCCAGGCTCCGGATTCTGGGGCCGAGCCAGGGCTGGAGCTGGCTGCCCACTAACGCAGCGCAGCCCCATGGGTCCCCAGGAGTTTGGAAGAAGAGCGGTCTTGCCCCTAAGTGTCTGTACTGCCACCGGTGCGCCCTTAGCCGTAATTAAGCTAGGTGATTCTAGTTCTTTGTTTTCCACATTTATATATGCTTATTCACTCCCTGTGTAGTATTAACTACCTCTTCTACCTCTCACAGTTACCAAAATGTTTAGTAACGCCCTAACTGAATGACTTTGCGTTGGTTTGTGTGCATAGAGTGGATAAGGATGTGACAAGCTTGCATCATTGAAGATTTATTTAATCAAAGGGCAAAGTTTTAATAGGTCCTTCCTCAAACACATTTAAAAACTCTTGAAATTTACAAAAGTGACATGCTTATTAATGTATTTTCATAGTTAACATGATGGACGCATGTTCAGTAAGGCATGAAAGCTCCTCCATTTCCCGTCTCTATACAGGAACTAACGTTGTGTCCTTCCAGAATTTTCACTGTGTATTCACACTTATGGTAGCACTATAACCATGGGGTTGTTATCTTCTTAAAACACATATTGGATCCTGCTGTGCATACTGTTATCCACTCAGCTCTTCTTGATTAACTAGATCTTGGGCCTCTTTCCTTATCAGTACACACAGATCTGCCTTATTTTTTATGACTGAGGACTATGATTACTTCACATTTCCACAATTGTACATATACTGGTTGTCTTGCAAATTCCTACTGTTACAAGTATGGCTGCCATAGGTGGTATTGTATGTCCACCGTGGGTTCCTGTGCGAGTGGGCGTGGTGAAGTTGTACACCTGTGAACGCGTGTGGAGTGTGCCTGTTGCCACCAGTGACAGAAGACACACACACTTCAGAGGGATGAGCTCGGGAGACAGTCCAGTGCTGGGAAGCCATGTGCACGTCTGCCCTTTTCTTGGCTAATGTAATTGCAACTTAGTTTGCATGACTGCCTCTTTAGTGGAAAGTTTTTCTGTCTTTTAATTCTGTGAATTGACACTCCAAAGAGTTCAGTTTGAAGGTCAATGTCCTGTTAAAACTCCTTTATTCCTAAGCTGATTTTTAAACAGATTCAGGTGTGTGGTCACAGTGTCACGTCCGCTTAAAGCAGGGCTGCTGGCTCGTGGGGAACCGCAGGCGGCAGTGACCGGCGGCTCAGTGCAGCACCTGCAGCTGTGGCCACGGTAATGGGCTGGCTGACGGGACACGGGGTGATGCGCCTCTTTCTTAGCCACTGTTGTCCACGCGGGAATTTCGATGTTGAGATAAGATGCAAATGGTTTTATTGCCACTTAATAGGCTGCTTGTGCCAAATGGGTAAAACTTTAATAATTAAGTTACTAACTATTTTAACTGCATATTCACAAGGCAGAGTGTGTCTTAAACACACAGTTTTCTATCCCAAAAAGTGTAGCATTTTTTTTTAATGAAGAGCTTTATTAAATACAAAATCCAGGCGATTGGTTGTGGGTTGGGGGGACCGAAAGTATGTTGACATGAGGCTGACCTGCCAGGAAGTGTCCCCTGAGGCCCCTGCTGTCGTTTCTGTCTCGCAGTGCTCGGCCTGGTCCTGCCCCTGTGGGCCATCGCGCTCATCTCCTTCGGGGTGGCCCTGCTCTTCGCCTTCTTCGTGTGGCTCTTCGTGTGTCCCTGGATGCGGAGAAAAATAGCAGGTAAGCGCTCCTCTATTCTTCTGATTTACTGAAGTGCCCCCCGTTCCCGAGACTTCGGATGGAATGCCCAGCCACCCCTACTGACAGAGGGAGGTGGAGGCACAGCTGAGTCTAGAGCACAGGCGGCAAACACAAGGCCCACGGGCCGAATCCGGCCCAGCACCTTGTTTCTACCCAGTGGCCGAGTCAAACTCTCACTTAACTGTTAAGGAGCATTTACATTTATGCAGTCCTGAAATGACCTTCGGCCCTTTGAAGGCAACCGCGAGGCTGATGTGGCCCCCGGTGAAAGGGGGCTTTATGCCCCTGGTCCAGAAGATACACTGAGATACACACCTAGTCCTTGTCTCTTGGTTCCTGACTGCTTTCTGGCTCACACTTTTTGTTGGTAACTGTGACCCCGGTGAGCACAAGGTCCTAGTTGTGTGGATAAGTGGAAGTTAATGATGCAGTTAAGTTCCACCAGCCTGATGAAAAACATTAGTCTTCTGGGAAATTCATATCAACACCCCAATAAGATATCACTTCACATCCACAAGAACAGCTAAACGTAAAAGACGAGCAATATCAAGTGTTGGTGAAGAAGTGGAGTAAGTTTGTTTATGGTAAAATGTAAAGTGGTACAACCACTTTGGAAATTAGTTCAGCAGTTCCCTATAAAGTGAGTCTACACTTAGCATATGACCCAGTAATTCCACTCCTAGGTACTTATCCAAGAGCTGAAGTGCTACATGAAAATGTATGTTCATGAAAATACTTGTACACAAATCATTTGGTCATAATTGCCAGAAACTGGAAACAACCCAAATGCTTATTAACAGGGTAATAGGTAACCAAATTGTGCTGTATTCACACATTAGAAGACTGTACTGAGCAAGACAGAGAACAAACTACCTCCTGTAGGTGCAACAGCAGAACAAATTTCACAGACTTTATGTTGAGCAAAAGAAGCCAGCTACAGCAGGGTATACTCCGTAGGATCCCAGGGGAGTTCATCTGTAGGCAGGAGTCACTGGTGGTTGAGGCCAGGGGTTGGGGGGTGTCGCAGCAGACACTGCGAAGGGCAGGAGGGAACTTAGCAGGGACTCGGGAGTGTGCGCCGTCTTCAGGGGGAGCGGTCTCAGCGTGCACTTACTTGTCACAGGCCATCTGCCTGCACATTTAAAATGAATTGTATTGCATGTAACTATACCTCAGTAGAAGCAATTTTTAAAGAAAGGAGGAGAATACGGCTTAGAAAGCCGCCAGAGCTATTTTCCTGTCATTAGCAACATAACTGAATTCCTAGCCCTGAGGCCACATGTTTCTACAGAGCTCTCAGAAGAAAAGAAGTATTTGTTCTTGGCCTCAGAGTGGACTTCACAATCCCATTTCAGTATGGACTATTTGAATTTGAAAATTCGCATTTGAAAGAAGACAAAAACAAACAGGATACACGTGGCCATGAATCGGAGGACTCAGCACAGATGCTGGGTTCTTCTCAGGTTGATCCATAGATTTAACACAATTTCAGTAAAAATCCCAGCGGGATATTTTGTAGATATGCACAGGCTGCTCTTAAAATTTATACTGAAGACAAAGAAACTAGAAGAGCCAAAAATATTTTGAAAAAGAATAAAGTTGGAGGATTTACACTACTTGACTCAGTGTAAAGCTGTAAGACAGTGTAGTGTTAATGGACAGATCGACATCTAGAGGACTGGAACAGAAATAGACTGACACAAACATGACACGTTGATTTTCAACAAAGTACAAAGGCAGTCCAATGGAGAAAGAAAGGTCTTCACAACAAATGGTACTGGAACAATTGGACAGCCATATGCAAAAAAAAAAAAAGGAAAAAGAAAAGAAAAGAAAAAAAGAACAACCTAATCCTTATACACTGTAAAAAAAAATTAACTCAAAATCCATTATAGATCTAAAAATAAAATAAAAGACACTAAGACTTATAGGGGGAAAAATCAGGGGAATCTTTTGTGGCCATGGGTTCAGAGTGTTGAGATAGGACACCAAAAACAGCTCATAAAAAACGTTGGGAAATTGTACTTCATCAAGATTTAAAACAGTTGCTCTGTGAGAAACACAGTTAAGAGAATGAAAAAGGCAAGCTGGAGACTGGGAGAAAATGTTTGCAAATCCCCTGAAAAAGGACTTACATTCACAATATATGAAGAAATCTAAGAAAACCCAGTTAAAAAAAAAAGAGCAAAACATTTGAACAGACACCTTATCAAAGGAGGATATCAAAGAGTGGCAGATAAGTCACTGAAAAGAGGCCCACATCACTTGCTGTCAGGGAAAAGCAAGTGACAAATCACAGTGACACATCATCGCACACCTATTTGAATGGCGTTTTAAAAAAAGACAGTGCTAAGTGCGTCTGGGCGTAAGGAGCAGTGGAACTCTCGTACAGTATGGGGCAGCCACTCCAGGAAATAGCTTGGCAGTTTCTTATAGGACTAAGTACACATGTGCCCACCCCTGGGTATTTACCCTAGAGAAATGAAAAGTTAAATTTACATGAAAATGTGGGTCTGAATGTTTATAGCAGCTTTATTTGTGATCACCCAAAACCAGGCAGATTGTGCACAGGATGAATAAACTATGGTGTAGCCCTATGCTGGAATACTACTCAGCGGTGTAAAAGACGAACCGCTGACACCTGTAACAACATGGATGAGTCTCAAAGGCATCAGGCCAAGTAAAAGAAGCCATTTTCAGAAAATTAAAGATCGTATGGTTTTATTTATATGACATCCTGAACAAGACAAAAGTATAGGGACAGAGGCCCGATCAAGGGCTGTCAAGGCTTAGGTTTGGGCAAAGGGTTTGATTGCGGGGAGCTTTGGGGAGTGACAGGACCCTTCTCCATCCTGACACAGATGTGGGTCGCAGGAGCCTGACGTGTTAGAATCAGGACTGTATACACACAGAGACCATTGCTGCATGCAGATTTAAACACTAATGATAAAAAATCCATATTGGCACATACAGCCTCAAACTAAATAGTGAGGCAAAGTTGCTGCTGGTGCTTCCTCTCCCTGCTGTCTATGGGGAGTAAATATTAATGTCACCTCCTCTGTTCATACTGAGCACTAGCCTAAGATGAGCCCCCCTTAAACACACTGCTTGATTTAACACTGCATGGGAGTAATAAACCATACTTAAATGCTGTGATTTTTTTAAAGAGGTTTTTCCTAAACAGCTGAACCCAAGTGTCATGTGGACCACAAAACCTTTGTTTTCCAGCTTTAGGCTATAAAGTCACAAAAAGAAAGTGACATTGCTCCCCATTCTGGCTTTCTAGCAGATTCGTGTGTGTGTGTGTGTGTGTGTGTGTGAGAGAGAGAGAGAGAGAGAGAGAGAATGGCATGTATTTTGACGTTTCAGTTTATATTTCTTGTTCTAAACAGACTAATGGTTGAGGGCATGGAACATAGAGCTAAATTGCCTGATTTCGCACCTGCGTGATGTTGCAAATGACTCCACCTCCTTGTGCCTCAGTTTGCTTGTGAATGAAATGCAGAAAATAATACCGGATTCATGTGTTAATAATTTTTGTTTTAATTGGTATACTCTATGCAAATGTTCTCTCCCCTAGATTATAAGCAACTTGAGGTCAGTAGATCTGTATGTACATTTCTTGTTCCCTGTAGCACATAACAAATGAAGTTTAAACATTTTTATCTATTCATCTGACTGGGGAGATGTAGAGAGATGACAGGGACAGAAGCTGTGTGAGTGTATGCAGCAGAGGGACCGAGAAGATCATTTCTATTTCATTCCTGTAGGCGAGACATCATTAAATCAGCAGCAATGAGTGCCAGATTGGGTTTTGAAAGAGTGCCGTTGAGCTTTAAAATGCCTTTTTAAAAATCCCTTGGTTATTTTGAAAGTAAAGGATTTTTAAAAGTAAGTAGGATCTGTTTTTTTTCTTTTTTTTTTTTTTGAGAAAAATTATGTACTTATTTCCTAAGCTTTAGTGACTTACAATTTGCAGACCAATACTTGATTGAACAGAAGAAGACCAAACAGATCATACAATATCTATGAAGACAAAAAGGACAAACATCTCAGTGATTCTGAGGCCAGTTTAAGAAAACAGAGGCCAGTCCAGATGGTTATAGAGTTACGGGCTGTTAGCCCTGGACAGGGGCCCTGAGGATCAGATCCAGCCCTTACTGTTCTGCTGGGTTTTCATGAGCTAGTTCAGGCCCCATGCCCCCATCTTTTCCCCAATAGCTGAATATTAGGCCTTAAGTTTCCCAGATAATCAAACTCTCCACTCCATTTTCTCTAACTAGCTATAAATTTTTTGTTTCATGTCCAAAGTAAGTACTGAGGTATAAAGGTAAGTATTCATTTTTTATACTCACTTTTCAATAAAAAGCAGGCTTCCAAAATTTTCAGCTACAACTGTATTTTCTTTAGGCAAATTACAAAAAGAAGGTGCTTTAACGCGAGTCTCTGATGAAAGCCTCAATAAAATTCAGGAAGCGGAGTCCCCAGTATTTAAAGAGCTGCCAGGTGCCAAGGCTAATGACGACAGCACTGTCCCCCTCACGGGGCCGGCCGGGGAGACACCAGTGGCCCCAGAAAGCACGGCGGCGCTGGCGGCGGGCAGCCACCCCCGGGCCTCTTATGGTAAGAGCCGCGCAGAGAGCTTGGGCTTGTCTGGTGGCAGAGAGCCGTTCCTCGGGTACGCAGCTGGGCCTGAATGTGGGGAATTAGGTTTTAGTGCACACAAGTGTCCCCCAATTTTATGTTTTGAGGAAACCCAGGGGCTCAGGAGACCTTAGGAGACTGACCCCTCAGTCAGCAGAGCAGGATTACTCTTGTCCTGTGCTTTTCTCCCAAGAACTATTTATGGAACTATTTATGGTCTTATCAGTGGCACGTAGGGCGCACACGGTGCGATGCCTCCGTGCAGCCCACTCAGCTGCTCGTGCGGAGTTTTCGTGCTGCATGGTTACCTCACTGCTCATGGCTGGCTTATCCAGCTTAACAAGGAGCCTTCCTCGGGAAAGACACAGAGGGAAAGCTAAAACCGGAACCACGGCAGTCTCCCACAGAGAATCACAGAAACCTCAGAAAACAGCAAGACTGTTCTGGGGGTGTCCTTTGGTCCCATAACTTTTGAGGATGATGATGGGCGAGCGCCAGCCTCTGCCAGGCCTGTCAGGGCAGCTTCCCCCCTCCCTGCCAGGTGGGGCCCTGGTACCCACTCTCCTTAGACGTGGTCTCTGATGTGGCCCAGAGGAAGCAAGTTGACTTTGCCCCACAGACCTGACAGACACTGCCTCTGAGAGTCATGGCTGGCCTTTTAAGGAGCACCTAGAATGTCTGTCTCACCGTAAGCTGGGGTTTACCCTTATATATCACATTTTCTAAAATAAGTCCCTTATAAACTGGATTTTCCCCTTATGTATGAAGTTTTCTAAAATACACCCCTTATAAGGATTCTCCCTTTATTGATTACTAGGAATTGTGAAGAACGCTGTAGTAATTTTTGGAAGACACTTTTTAGAACTTAAGTCACATTATTTTAAAAATATCATATTATCAGTTTTATACCCTTTTATAGTATGTCTCCAAGTTTCTTTTTTATTTTGTTCATATTACGTGTCCTTTATAGTCAATTCAGAAAATAGGAGTGTGGGGAAAACCTACATCACCCATAATGACCCAGCCTCGCTGAGATTACCGTTATGAGACGGGGGGAGTATTTCCTTGTAGACGTGACTTACGTTCAGAAGGCTAGAAAGTGATGCCTTCTTGTAACCCTTTCCAGGAAGGGCGCTTTCCATGACTCACGGCTCTGTGAAATCGCCCATCTCCAACGGCACGTTCGGCTTTGACAGCCACAGGAGGAGTGACGGGCACGTGTACCACACGGTGCACAAGGACTCGGGGCTCTACAAGGATCTGCTGCACAGAATCCACACGGACCGGGGCCCCGAGGAGCGGCCGGCGCAGGAGAACAACTACAGGCTGCTGCGGCGGAACAACAGCTACACTTGCTACACCGCGGCCATCTGTGGAATGCCGGTCCACTCGACTTTCAAAGCCGCTGACTCGTCTGCACCAGAGGACAGTGAAAAGCTGGTGGGTGACACCGTGTCCTATTCTAAAAAGAGACTTCGCTATGACAGCTACTCAAGCTACTGCAATGCAGTAGCCGAAGCGGAGATAGAGGCAGAGGAGGGAGGTGTGGAAATGAAGCTGGCGTCTGAGCTGACAGATCCTGACCAGCCTCGAGAGGACCCTGCAGAAGAAGAGAAAGAAGAGAAAGACACTGCCGAGGTCCACCTTCTGTTCCATTTTCTGCAGGTCCTTACTGCCTGTTTTGGGTCCTTTGCACACGGTGGCAATGATGTGAGGTAAGGATGTCAGTCGTTGGACAAGTGTGCGTTGAGGGTCTGCCATGTGCCAGGCACTATTCTGGGCGCTGGGATACAGCAGCAGACAACACAGAAGCCCCTGCCAGTCGCGGTGGGGTGGGGCACAGACAGTAAACGAATAAATGAAGTAGCACGAGTGATAGACTAGACAGTGATAAATGTTTGAGGGGAAAATAAACCGGAAAGGGGCTTGGGACTCTGGAGACTGCACGATTAGATAGGCTGCTCAGGTAAGGGCTCGCTAAGTGAGAGCTGAAAGGGTGAAGGGATCTGGCCATGTGAGCACCTACAGGAAAAGCATTTCAAAAAGAGGGAACAGCACGTGCAAAGGCCTGAGGCAGGAATATGCCTGGTGTATTCTAGGGAGTGCAGCGAGGCCACAGAGAGAGACTGTAGACTGTAAGGCTAGCAGGTCATGGAGTCCTGGCATATGTAGGAAATACGTATGGATATGTAGAGAGCCCCCACTGCCTTTCCTAGTTGGATAATTAGTGACAGGTTGCTTGATTTCCCCAAAGCCTCAGTATCCCAATCTGTAAAATGGGGGTACAATTAATACCAACCTCATAGGGCTTTCATGAGGATTAAGTGAGATGCTTTACAAATGTGCTTAGGACAGTGTTCCTTCTATAATCAGTTTCTATACATTTTCACTATTACTATTATTATCATTTTTATGCAGGGCCAGTATTCCTGTCCAAATCAGGAAGACATGCTATTGTTGCATTTTAGTTAGTGACACCCCACTTTCAGCCATGGGTTTCTACACACTGCCTGTCCACATGCGAGTGCATTCTGGTCTTTTTTTAAGGAGCCTTTCCACCAGACAAGAAGCCCGGACACCTTTTGTTCTGCTCAGTGTTAGACAGGTCTTGCTGTGTTGTTTCCTTTAAGGCGCCGTGTTTGGTCCTGCCTTCATTTTTGACTGCCTGTCCCCAGGCCCACCCCCTTCCTCCTCCTCTGTATCAGGCATTCTTTACTGAAGGCCTGCTACTGAGGGCGTGTTGTGAGTTGGGTCCCCGGCCTTCAGGAGGTTAAATTCCAGTTAGGGAGATAAAAATACGTGTAGGTGGGAAAGTAAAAACCACCCCAAAACAGTATTTCCAGGCCAAAGGAAGAGTTTAGGAGGTACCTCCTACAGCTGACCAGAGTTGAGAGCACTTGCTTACCAAACGTTTGGGGCTGGTGTTGAGGCTTTCGCATAGGGATGTGGTCTGATAACAGCAGTGTTCTAGAAGCAATACCGTGACAGTGAAGAGGGGCCTGTATTCCTCCAGCACATGTTACTAGGTTTCTACCCGGCCTCAGAGCCGAGCCATTTGTAACTCATTCTGATCCTTCTCCAGGGATCAGAGGTTATCAGTGGTATCGTCAAAGACAGGGAATTGGAATCTCAGAAATGTGGCAGTTCTTGCCCGGGGTAACACAGCCAGAGAGAGGCGGGGCTTGAGAGCGAGTCCCGTGTGACTCCCCACCCACATTCTGTCTACTCGGAGCCCAGACTGGGACTGGAGGAGGAGACTGGGGCTGCGGAAGCCATTGGAGCCCGTGTGTAGTTCTGCATGGAAGGAGCTTGGGAGTTGTTGCTGCATCCTAAAAACAAGTGAAAACCTGGACAGACTGAAACATCAACAACTGTTTTTTGGGCCCAGAAGAGAGAGGAGGACACAGGGCAAACCCCTGCCCCCAAGATTGGAGATACTTTCAACTCCAGAGAGTCACAGAGGAGAGGCTCCTGAGCGGGGACTGCTGTGGGAACCAGTGCGCACAGGAAAACCCGAACGCTAACAGGAATTCCCACAGGCGCAGTGGAGACGAGTCTGAGAGTTTAAAGACTCCAGGGGGACCCAGGGCTAGAAATAGTTAAAAAAGAACAACTGATACACTAAGAAAGGAGAGAAAAAAGAATCATGAAAAATATTCAGTTAAGACAAAATAGAACAAAGAACAAGGGTAACAAGTAGAAAAAAGTAATAAATATGATAGATATTAATCCAAGTCTGTCAAAATCACTTCGGATGTCAGTCTACATGTACCAGCTAAAAGACGAGATTGTCAGACTGGATCAAAAACCAAGACCTAACTGTATGTTGCCTATAAGAAACCCACTTTAAAGACACATGGAAGTTAAAAGTAAGTGGAAGAAGGAAAATAGGCTAACATTAATAAGAAAAAAAGCGGAAGTTGCTAACGATATTAATTTTGGACAGAGCAGACAGGGACAGATCCAGCAGTCAGGGTGTCAGTAAGGATGTAGTTGAACTCAACAACGCCGTCAGTCAACTGTATATTATTTACTTTTATAGATTTCAACAACAGGAGAATTCACATTCTTCTCAAGCTTGCATGAAACAGTCAGCAAAATAGACCATAAAAAATACCTGAATGCGTTGAAAAGAATAGAACTAATACAATGTCTGCTGTCAGACCACAATGAAATTAAGCCACAAATCAATGAAAGATAGATCATTGGAAAATTGCAAATATGTGGCAATTACATAACACATGTAAATAACACATGGATCAAAGAAGAAATATTGAGAAATTTTTGAATATTTTAAACTAAATGGAAATAAAAACAAATATTTGTGGGATACAGCAAAACAGGCTTAGGGGACAGCATATAGCGTGAATACATTTATTAGGAAAGAATAAAAAAATCCATAATCTAAATAGTCATCCTAGGAAACTAGAAAAAAAGGAGCCAATTAAATTCAAATTAAGAAGAATAAAAGAAATAGTAAGAGCAGAAATCAATGAAATTGAAATCAGGAAATCTATAGAGAAAAATCAATGAAACCACAGATTTTTTTAAAGAGCAATAAAGTTGATAAGCTTCTAACCAGGCTAAATGAGAAACAATAGAGCAAGATCACAAGTTACTAGTAACAGGAATGAAAGAAGAGACATCACTCTAGATCCTGTGGACATTAAAAAGATAAAGCAGTACCCCATGCCCACACATTTGATGATGAAGATGACATTGGACCAATTCCTTGTATTAAGCAATCTGTCAAAGCTCACACAAGAAGAAATAGACCATCTGAATAGGCCTATATCTATTAAAGAAATTGAATCAATAATTAATAGTCTTCTAAAACAGAAAGCACCAAAGTTAACTTATGAATTCTACCAACATTTTAGAAGACAATATACCAATTCCCTGCAATCTCATGCAGAGGATAGATGCACAGAGACTGCTTCCTAACTCAGTTTCCTAACTTACACAGTTATAAGGCCAATGCTATCCTATTACCAAAACGAGACAAAGATATTAAAGGAAAACTATAGAACAGTATCTCTCATGCACATAGATGTAAAAGTCCTCAACAGAGTATTAGGAAAGTGAATCCAACAGAGTATAAAATAATTATACAGCACAACCAAGTGAAATTTATCCCAGGTATGCAAGGCTGGTTCAACATACAAAATTGAATTAATGTCATCCATCAAATGTAAAACAAGAAAAGTCACATGATCATGTCAGTAGATTTTAAAAAAAGGCATTTAACAAAATCTACCACCTATTTTTATTTTAAAAAAAACTTTCAATAAACTAGAAATAGAGGGGAACAACCTCAACTTGATAAAGAATATCTCCAAAAAACCTACAACTAACATCATATTTAATGATGAGAAACTCGGCTTGCCCACTAGGATCAGGAGCCAGTCAAGGATGTCCCTTTTTATCACTCCTTTTCAACACCTTACTGAAGTTCTAGCTAATGCAATAGGACAAGAAAAGGAAGTAAGAGGTACACTGATAAGGAAGGAAGAAATAAAACTGTCTTTGTTCGCAGATGACATGATTGTCTATGTAGAGAATCTGAAAGAATCAAAACCTTCTGGAACTAAGAAGCAATTATAACAAGGGTGCAGGATATAAGATTAATATAGAAAAGTCACTTCTGCACATGTCAACAACGAACAGGTAGAATTTGAAATTTAAAACACAATACTGCTGCTTTTCAGCCACAACTGCCATCTTTCAGTAATTCACCAAAATGACTAACACAAAGGAAAAGGGGAGGCACCCATTATGTTCTCTAGGCCTTTTGGAAAACGTGGAGTTGTTCCTTTGGCCACCCACATACCTGCAGATCTACAAGAAATGTGATATTGTAGACATCGGGGGAAGGGGCACTGTTCAAAAAGGAATGCCCCCTGGGGTGAAGGGAGGTATAAGGGGACTAAATGGTCTTGGAAAAATATATAATAAAGATTACATTGAAAAAAAAGTGCCCCACAAATGTTCCCCTGGCAAAACTGGAAGGGTCCACCGTGTCACCCAGCGTGCGGCGGGCACTGTTGTCGACAAACAAGGGCAAGATTCTTGCCACGAGAACTAATGTGCATGTTGAGCATATTAAGCGCTCTAAGAACCGAGATAGCTGCCTGAAACGTGTGAAGGAAAATGATCAGGAAAAGAAGAAAGCCAAAGAGAAGGGTACCTGGGTTCCGCTGAAGTGTCAGCCTGCTCCACCCAGAGAAACGCCCTTTGTGAGAACCCGTGGAAAGGAGCCCGAGCTGCCGGAACCCATTCCTGATGAAATCATAGCAAGATAAGTGTAAAAAGAATGAAAGACTCTGCACCGTTAAAAATGTTTCTGTTAATTGAGTTGAGGTGTGGTCTCCCTCCCCCCGCAAAAAATATTTAAAGGAAACTCTGTGTCCTGAAAATAATAAATAAAAAATACAACACAATATTATTTACATTAGCATCCCTCAAAATGAAATACTTAGGTATAAATCGAACAAAATATGTAAGGATCTATCTACATGTGGAAAACTACCAAACTGATGAACAAAATCAAAGAACTAAATGAATGGAGAGATTTTTCATGTTCAAGGCAAGGAAAACTCAATACTGTCACGTTGTCCATTCTTCCCATCTCGGGGATGTTGATGATGAGGGAGGCTGTGCCTGCGTGGGAGCGGGGATTATATGGGAAATCTCTGCACCTCACTTCGGTTTTGTTGTGAACCTTAAATTGCTCTAAATGAATAACATCTTATTACAAATTTGGAAAAGAAAAAAGACAGCTGTAGTTTCTCCCCAAAAAGGCAGTGCGAAGCTGCCCAGGGCCTGAGAGATGGGTGCAGGCTCAGGGAAAGGACATGAGCCCCTGGGTCGCTCCCGAGCTCCTGCCTCAATCCTGCCTCCTGTTGGTGACGCGACTTCAGCGTCCGGTTCTTTGTCGGTGAAGTGGAGTGACAGTGCCTAGTTTGCAGGGTGGTGTGAGGACTAGCGCAATGTTCGTGGCCCCACCGTGGCCCTACCGTGGCCACACTCGACATGGCTGGCCATTACTGGTAGCTAATCTTAGTGGCAGTGCTGGCAGTGAAAATGGAAGGAAACAGAGAGGGAAAAAAAGGAGTAGAAAGAACTTGATTTGTGTGTCCACTTCTTGTGATTTTTCAGGACAATATCTCTAAAAAGCTACCATAATAAGTCCCATGTGCGTCAAGGTGGCTACTATAGGCCCTGGGCGGGGAGCTCAGTTGGTTAGAAGGATATCCCGACATACCAAGGTTGCAGGTTGCATCTACCTTATGATCCGGCAGTCCCTCTTCTGGTTGTTTACCCAAAGGAATCGAAAGCAGGGACTCGAAGAGACCCATATTTGTACACCCATGTTTATTGCAACATTATTCACAGTAGCCAAGAGGTGGAATGTCCGTCAGCGCGTGTCCGTCAGTGAATCAAGAAGGTGTGGTGTGTGCACACAGTGGAATATTCAGCCTTAAAGTAAGGAAGGAAATTCTAACGCATGCTACAACGTGGATGAATCTTGAGAACATTATGCTATGTGAAATAAGCCAGTCTCAAAAGGCAGATACTGTGTAATTCCACTTATATGAGGTACCTGGAGTGATCAAGTTCATAGCAACAGAGAGCAAGGTGGTGGTTTCCAGGGGCTGGGGGCAGGGGGCAGGGGGAAAGGGAATTATCGTTTAATGGCTGTAGAGTTTCAGCTTCACAGAATGAAAAAGTTCTGGAGTGCTATTTTACAATAATGTGAATATACTTGACACTACTGAACTGTACACTTAAAAATGGCTAAATGGTAAGTTTTCTGTTATTTTTTTACCACAACGAAAAAATTAATAAATCTTTTTCGTTACCACTAGATTCCATAGGCAAGCCACAGCTACAGTGAGAAGGGCTGTTCTCAAGACTGAGAAGTCACTGCATTTGTGTGCAGTGCCGTCTGTCTGTCTGTCCATACAGTGTTTGTGTAACTCATCTACTTTATTCATCCTCCCAGTAATGCCATCGGTCCCCTGGTAGCTTTGTGGCTGATTTACGAACAAGGTGCAGTCCTGCAAGAAGCATCCACGCCTGTCTGGCTGCTGTTTTACGGAGGAGTCGGGATTTGCACAGGGCTCTGGGTGTGGGGCCGAAGAGTGATCCAGACCATGGGGAAGGACCTCACTCCTATCACGCCATCCAGGTAAGCCAGGGAATGCAGGCTGGACTGGCAGAGCCGGCCCTTGGAGGCCGTGCAGAGTCAAGAAGTCTGAGCCCTCTCATGCTGCTGTCATGCCCCCGCCCCTCAGCACAGCCACTCTGCAGCTGGAGGCGCAGTGAGGAGGGGCAGAGGGTGGGCAAACCCCACCTTCGCTGGCCACCCATCATGGCCCTCCCTCGGGCACTCTTGGGCCCCCTGTCCACTGTGGCACTGAGATAAGTGAGATAAAACTAGAGGGTGGGAACATGGAAGGAAGGGGAAGCTGAAGCAGAGCAGGAGGGAAGAGAAAAAGAACCACCTGGCAGCCCCCCATCTTCTCCCACTGGTGGTCTTGCCCAGCGTGAGCTCCTGAGAGCAAGTGGGGAGCAAGGGTGTGCCTTTCCCGAAGATTCCTGCCACACCAGCTCCACCTGCTGGAGGGAAGCAGCTCTCACCAGCCACCCCTCTGGGGCTCCTGGGCAGTCCTTGCTCTGGCAGCCGCTGCCCTCTGAGGTGGGGTCCCACTCACGTGGTTGCCGCAGTCCTGTTGTCCTTTTTTTCTGGTCTTTAGGTAGATTGGGGGTTAAATAACAGACTCACGGGAGAATTTTAGAAGGATACAACGAGAAGTTGGAACTACCTATTGTAACCTTTTCCCCTCTTGACATTAATTTTAATAATTCTTTTATAAAATTGACTTCACAAAAAATTAGTAATCTGAGAAAATTCACTTTTTGGTAGTAAGAACACATTTTAAAAATGAGAGTATAGTTTTTTGTATGCCACTTTAAAAATGAAAAGTGACCATTTTTTACACAGCAGGAATTTCTGACCCACTTACAGCAGTGTGTGGGTTTTGAAAACATTCCAGAAAAATAAGGCTCTTTGGGGCTGTAAACAGTGCAATGCAGAGCCTTGGTGTGAATCGTTGTCATTGTACAGCAGTTTCTTGTTCTGTTCGCATCATCTGGCCCTGCCAGAGGCTGCCAGTCAATTCAGAGGAGGTTCTGGGGAGACTTTGGCAGCCCTGGGGTGTCCGTGGGGCCGATACAAAGGGCGCCTGTGATGTGTCTCCTGTCTCCCCCACAGCGGCTTCACCATCGAACTGGCCTCCGCGTTCACGGTGGTGATCGCCTCCAACGTGGGGCTTCCCGTCAGCACCACGCACTGCAAGGTAGGCCCCTGCCCTGTCGTCCTTCCTCCAGGCAGCCGGGACAGGTCCACAGTCACCCAGGGACTCTGGGAAGAGCTTGTCGCACTCTCCGTGTTGTTGTTAGTTAGTGAAAAACATCACCTCCCGGTTTGCTGGGAGTGCTCAGTCAGCATTGTTGGACGTGGGGGCGTTTGCTTTTCTCGGACTGCCCTCCTCGCCCTCGCCACTCGAAGTGCGACGCCTGTGGTCATGAGGACTTGGCGTTTCTGTGCATGCCTGGCAGCGCTTCCCCTCCTTTGATGCATGCTTCACACTGTCCATGTGTCCTGTTTCTCCTCATCGTTTCCACAGTGGATTGTGCACTGAAGTCATGTGTGCGCTAACTGCATTCGTAGGCTCAAATGGGGGCATGCCACTCAGTTCCAGCCCAGTGCAAGGGAGTGGGAGTTGACGGTGGAGCTAGAGATAAGCAGAACCATCTCAGTGGAATTGTAAGACATGGTCGTTTCAGTTCTTTTTCCTTATATGATGGTCAGAGTGCCTGTACTGCCTTCGAGTAAATCCAAATGAGGGTTAATGCGTAATGCTGCTCACTGCCAGGGGCTCTAAACCTCAGGGCTGTGCAAGACGGAATTCCTTGCTGCAGGGTGGAATGTTGGAGCTGTAAGGAAACTTAAAGATAATGAAGAGGAGAGGGCTTTTGTGAGTGTAAGGCAGTTATCCACGGTCACTCATGGTGGAGCCAGGACTAGAACCCAGGTCTAATAACCCAGATCTGGAAAATTCTGAAACATCTCATAATGGGTCACCTATAGACAAAAATAGTCCCTAACTTCAACAAAGCAAAAGTCACCTGCAGATTTTTTTTTCCCCGCATGTATCATACAAGAAAATCTCCTTTGGCCCTGGCTGGTGTGGCTCAGTGGATTGAGTACCAGCCTTCGAACTAAAGGGTCACTGGTTCAATTCCCAGGCAGGGCACATGCCTGGGTCCCCAGTTGGAGGCATGTGAGAGGCAACCACACATTGATGTTTCTCTCTCTCCCTCCTTCCCCTCTCTCTAAAAATAAATAAAATCTTATTTTTAAAGTAGAACTCCTTTGTACCTGCTGTGTGGGAGGTACTGTTTTAAACACCAGTGACCAACCAACCATCAACTACATTTACACACAATTTAAAAACTCCAACCAGCACGTTCATAAGCAAATGCGAAGGACTCTGTGCTTCAGATACGAAGGCCAGGCAGCGTTTGTGGGGGTACTTGTAGTGGGCCAGCTGAGCAAGCTGGAGCGCTACAGCACGTGGAATCAGCTTCATTGGAGGGGTTTTCATTGTGTTTTGTTTTCCTCTTTCCTTCTGTTTTGCTAACAAATATAGAATAACTTCAGCTTCCACTAATTTCACTGTAAAAATTACTTCCACTGACTGAGTCTATACCAAATGTGCCAGGCACTGTGTTTAGTGCTTTATATGGGGATGGGCAAAAGTAGGTAAATTACCAGCCATCATTACTTAAAAGATACATCATAAGTAAGGACGTGAAATAATAACAACAGTAAGAAGGACAATAATACAAATAAATAATATAATAAATAGTAAATAAATAATACAAAATAAACTCTGCTATGTGTGCTCACATCTGTAAGCCTCCTTTTGCCCACCCCTGTATGTACAAAATGTCATTTAGTCCCCACGGCCACCCTTTGAAGTTGGTCTTGGCATTCCCAATTCACAGACAAGAAAACGGAGGCTCCCCGAGTTCAGTCACTTTCCCAAGGTCATGCATTCAGCAAGTGATAGAGCCATCAGACCATCACCTCCTGCTGTGTACCTCCTGGTCATCATAATCATAATCGTGGTAACCAGTCACAACTAAGATGCGTGGGGCAGTTACTCTGCTGGGCACCATTTTAGGTGCGCCGTGAATAATTGTTCAGTGCTCCCTCAGACCTTTGGAGGCGAGTGCTCATGTTGCCCCTGTGTTACCGAAGCGTGAGAGGTTAACCCACTGGTCCAGCATGTTGACACAATCAGTGAGCAGCCCAGCGCCTGCTCTCCAGCGCTCTGCCCACCCGCCTCTCCAGTATAGAGGAGGGAGGCGGGAAAGGCAGGTGGTGTCCCTTGCCGTACTCCAGCTGTTGTTACTTTTCTAACGGCGGTTATTTAAAAATCCCAAAAGAGCACGTGTTCACTGAAGCATGTCAAACACCACCACGTGGAGTGAACAGCGAGTTATCTTCCTCCTCACTCCACCTCAGCTTCAATTCACTGTGATGCGTGGGAGCCCAGAGGAAATGCGTGTTACTAAATATATTCTTTCCCCAGGAAACGGGGCTTGAACTTTTCTGTAGGCATAAATAGTCTTTTGGGCTGCTTGAAAATAAGCATTACACTGTCTTTTTTAATGATTAGCCCTGCATTTGAGGAAGTCTAGTGAAGGCAAACTGTTTTTTAAAAGATTTTATTTATTTTTTAAAGAGGAAAAGAAAGGGACAAAGAGAGGGAGAGAAACATCAGTGTGTGGTTGCCTCTCACATGCCCCCAACTGGGGACCTGGCCCACAACCCAGGTATGTGCCTTGACCTGGGAACTTAACCAGTGACCCTTTGGTTCACAGGCTGGTGCTCAGTCCACTGAGCAACACCAGCCAGGATGAAGGCAAATAATTTTATACCAGTTGAAAGATCTCAGGAAAAAACAGCCCAAGTTTGGTTTTTCTTCATTGTTATTGTTACTTACCAAACTATATTCGTAAGCTAACCTATACTGCTCTATAGAGTGAAGTGTTATAACCAAGACTGCTAATTTTGCTAATAACACTAAATTCTATAATGCAATATGATAAAAATTAGAAGTATAAAATACCTATAAAAACTACATTCTTATGTAGTTATCTTTAAATGTCATTTCCCCAGTATTTTTATTCATACTAAAGTAAGGAGGTGCTACTAAGGATTTATATCCAGTTTGTACAGGACCTTAGTGAATCAATGTGTTATCGCCACCCTAAAAGAGCTATGTGAATCATGTGATAGGTTTTGTGTCCTTAGAGCTGCAGACCAGTGTTAGAATAGCTCATTGTCACTAAAACAAGTTACCTTAACATGGGATCACAGTGGGTGTCACCCATCAATGGGGCTCAAGACAGAGCTCAGCTTGCATTCCAGTCTGTTTGTCCAGTGTCACTGACACGGACCTCTGGACAAAGCCCAGAGCCAGTCACTACAGCAGTGAGAGGCCGGGGCCCTGGCTCTCAGGGGCAGGCAGTGGACCAAGATGCTTCTCCAAGTCCAGATGACCGGAGTGCTAGGAAGAGTTCACAGGTGCCATCCCCCCGTGACACACCATTGTACCCGTTGTCCATCTGCTCTCAGCAGCCCCCAGATGGCAAATGCGGGAGACATGGGATGGTGTTAGGAATGAGGCCCTATGTGAGCGAACCTGTGAATCTGGAAACATTCAGATTGTCAATGTCCACATAGAATTGTAACAATCCCATCAGGTTTTCCAGATAATTAGGCCCTGTGTTTGATTTTTCTGCCTCTCTGCTTCCTTTCCCACCTACTTGTTAGGCACTGACAGCAATAGTTTCCGTTAGAAGGTGGGTAAACGTTGGGAACTTGGCAGGAAAGAAAGGTGGAAACTATTATGTACAATGAGGTTCTTTAACTTATCTGGGTAGATGTCATTTACTCATGTTTCCTTCTAAGGGTACCAGTATTCAATACAGATGGTCCTCTGTGAGCTCTTTAATAGGACGTCAGAGTGGGGTTATCCAGAATGTTCTAATTCCATATCGGGTGGTTTGGGATTATTCTTTTCTGGGAATTAACCACATTGTTCATCTCTGTCGGTGATACAGGTGGTTACTCAATCTGCCTTTGGATCTGGAATAGCTTATTGGAAACACTACTGATTTAAAGTTTTAGGGTTCTAATTTCTATTTTAATTTTCTAATTCTTGCCCTCTGGTCCCCCTACTTCCCAGTAACTCTGTTGCTGTCAGTGCCTGATGATGACCTTAGGCTGGGAACACTTGGCTTCCTCGGGGGGAGGTGAGAACACAGGGAGGACGACGTCGTGTGTGTGTGTGTGTGTGTGTGTGTGTGTGTGTGAGAGACACGCTGGGATTGGGTGGGAAGTGCCAGTTCTCCTCTAACACAGCCTCAGCCGAATTTGGTTTTTACAACTTTACAAAATGAACCTTAATTTGCTAGGTTAAATTAGCAAGAACATAAAATGATCTAAAAAGAAAAGATTATGGATGACCTTGTATCTGTTTGTACAACTATTTGCCAGAAGGCATTGAGGCCCTAGAATGGACTAGGAAACAAAGAGGTCGTCCTCGAAGAGACATGCTGGGTGAGGCATTGGTGGCTCATCTTGCAACCAATGCAGTAAAGGTCTCGGTGCTAAGTCTTTAGCAGAATGGGAGAGGAGTTTGATGAGAGGCAGCTACTTTAATGGTATGAAAATATTTCTTTATAGGCTGTGGCAAAATGTTAAAAACTGGTGAATTTTGGTAAAGGGTGTATGGAAGTTCTTGCAGCTTTTCTCTAAGTTTCATATTATTTCAAGGTGTTTTTAAAATGCCCCCTTTAACAAGTAATCCATTTCAAGGCACATTTTTTGAAGCCTATCTGTGAGCTACGCGACTGAACATGTTAGTCATGAAACTGTTTGTAATAGGGAGAAACGGGAAGCGCAGTGGAAATGGTTAGATGAGTGCAGGTGCGCCCACCTAACGCGCATGCTGATCATAATGGCTGTGAGTGCTGCGGGAAGACGCCCGTAAGCTTTGTAAAGAAAGGAAATGGTAGCACACCCTATTATTTACAAATAAAGGTATTTTTATAAAAATACTAGAAAGGAATAGATAAATATAACAGTAGTTGGGTTCTGGCTAATTGTCCATATCTCCTATCACATAAACTTGTCCTAATATTATTATAGTGTATTACCTTTATGCTTTAAAAAAGTGTTCTGGGATAGGGGGGTGAGTAGAGGTAGAAGAGGGCACGAGAGGGATAAATGGCAATAGAAAAAATATAATTACAAAATAAAACGATAACAGGGAGAAGAGTGTTCTGCGAAAGGAAGGGGAGTAGGTGGAACGGAAACCTGAGTGCGCGCTCCTTAACCGAGGTCGCCCTGAGCGACCGGAGCGCGCCGCCCGCACGTTCTGGGGAGACCTCAAGTGACAGGAAGAGTCGAATCTCAGAAGCTAGAGGGTCAACAAAATGTCCAATTAAGTACCTGCCTTTAAATACAATGTGTTTTCGGCGTTCTTGTTTACTTCCACGAGCAGTTTAAAGTGTTGGGCTGTATTTATTCCGTGGTCAGACCACGGTCGCTGTGTGAGTCTCACGGCCACTGCTGGTTCTGCAGGCTGCAGGCGTCAGCAGCGACGGGCCTCCTTGACGGAGCTCTGCGAGAGTGGCCACCGGCCCCTGCTAAACTCCCTGAGCTTCCCCGGAGCCTGAGTGAGGTGCGAGACATTACAGGCACTGCACTTTCTTAGGACTTTTAGGACACTTAAGGTGTCTTTTTTTTTCCTTTTTAGACTTTCAACAAACCGTAAAATGGAGTGAAAGTTCATTTATAGAAAAATATTTGAATTAGTATTAATATTCTGATTTTCAAGTATCTCTGTCATGACTCTGTGAGGCTTGATCGACAGTGAGATTCAGTAATGTTTATGCTCCATTTTATTTTATTTTTAAAAATTAGCTCAAGTGCAAGAACTGCAAGGCAGTTTGAGAAAATGGAGAAACCCAGTTTAAAGTCAAGAGGCCTGAGTTCTGGTCCTCAGTTTGCCGTGATCCGCAGTATCTGCTGGTGCCCCTGAGCCGTCGAGGGCTCGGTTTTGTCCTCTGTAACATGAGCCACCCGGTCTCATATTCTCAGAGGTCTTCTGCAGCTCCAACATGTTGTGATGCTGTTATTCTAAGAGAAGAATATATAATTGCCATTTCATTATGTGATCAAGCAGGTTCACATACTATAGTAAGCGATATCCTACATGGGGAGTATTTAAAACAAGGGCATTCATAGTTAATAAGGTACAGAGGGCAGAGGAGACGTTTAACTGGTTAAAGTTCCACTCAAATAGAGCAGAATATATAGGTGGGGAAGTGCATCAGATCTGTATACCAAATAGAATAATCCTGAAACAATTATACCTAAAAGCTACTTGGTTTTGGAAGCTTTCAGCAAATTTAAGGGAAAGAATTGGTAACTCTATAATGCAATTTAAAGACGACCCAGTTCACACCGGTCCGATGGAGACTTGGTGTCGTGCCTCCCAGCCTGCGGGCCTCCCCTCACTTTAACCGTCTGTGCTCCTGCAGGTGGGCTCTGTGGTGGCCGTGGGCTGGATCCGCTCCCGCAAGGCTGTGGACTGGCGCCTCTTCCGGAACATCTTTGTGGCCTGGTTTGTGACCGTCCCCGTGGCTGGGTTGTTCAGCGCCGCTGTCATGGCTCTCCTCATGTACGGGGTCCTCCCCTATGTGTGATTTGTCCTCTTCCAACCGGTAAACAAGGGATAGTCTGGCGTGGGGATGTGTGGGAGGCGTGTGCCCGCACGCCACGCATGTCCACGCGTCCCGCCCACGCACGGGCTGTTTCTCACCAGCTTCTCCATGCTCCTTCAGGTGGCTCCAAACCACACTGCTCACCTAGGCGGTAGAGGCATCCTCCAGAGCTAACTTAACTACTGTACATAGTAATGTGCATTCAACTGGTATTGTGGTGATATAACGTGGTGCAGTTACTTAAATATATATATACTGTATACATAGAATAGGTAGCATTATTTCAAATATATTCAAAATGGGAGTGGAGGTAATTGCCTAGAATTCAATATTCAACAAATCTTTGTACATAGCGATTTCAGTGGCAAATTTTGAGAACCTTGTAAAAGGAAAGCCTAGTTGGGAGATGCTGTTTTTCCCATAGAACATACTGTAAGATGACTGAGATACAGGGTGGATGGTACAAATCCGGGAAGGTGTGCGCACGTCCGAGTGCTATTGCATAATACTGGAACCAGAGTTCACAAGTGCTTTCACTGAGGAATCTGTTCATATACTGTGTATTGGTTTGTAATATATGATAATTGCTTCTGTAAATACTTAAAACTGTAATTTTTTAATGGTGTGCGCTTCCCTTATACTTTTTTGATCAGAGAATTTTGGAAAGTACCAAAGAAGCAGGGGAATAGTTTGCCAGTATTATATTTTCATATTGTTTGTCTCCCTTCCTCATGAACCCTGCCGTTACCTGGGCTGCAGCAAGACCACCGTGCTCTGGCCTGCCTGGAGCAGTGGGTGTGGCGAGGCACCATCCCCCCTCAGGTGCACGTCCCCCTTCCATTCCCCCGGCCCACCCGCCCCGCCACTGCTGCCACGCGCCAGATGTTGGTCAGCCCCGCAGTGGCCGTTCACTGTCGTCAGTGTAGAGAATGTACAGATGTTAAAGACACGTAATCACGCACTACGTCTCAAGTCCAGTCTAACTTTCACTCCTGTTCTCCCCTGCATTCGGAAGAAAGGAATTCTTGTCTCAAACACTGAGGCGAGTCCTTTAACACTCTAGAAATTTGGCCTGGGGGAGGTTGAAATATCAGACAATACACTGGATTTGAGGATTTCCTTGAGGCCTTTACTTAGCTGAACATCTTGATGCTCTACTGTAGTCCCATTGGATTCTTTTTTGATAGTGGGAGGGAGGAAGTATGACTAATGTTAGAGCCTGAAACTATGGAAATGCTGCTAAAATTTTTATATTGACAGACATTTTCTCGGTACTTCATTGTGATTTTTCATTAATCAACCATATTAAATTTATAATAAAAAAATCCCCTTAAGTTTGCCTCTGAAGTTTTTTCTAAATACCAATATAACGTTTTTTTTGTCCAGGGTTTCCACTACCATAAAAACTATATAATTTGGTTACCTCTATTTTTCAGATCACCTTTCCCTTATTTGACTACTGTTAATATGTTTGTGCAGAAAATATACCTGAGCAAGAAAAGGAAAGAATGACCCACACAGCTCAACATCCAGAAATCCCCAGTGTTCACAAATGCATACATTGTTCCTTCAGTAATGAACTACCTGATGAAGGGGTTTCTCATTCTAAAGCTGGCCTGACTGCAGGGCAGAGGACCTAGCAGGAAAATGCACATCCTTTCTTCTTGGTTCAAACATCCAAAAACAAAACAAAAAGACAACTACTTGGAGCTTCAGAAGGAAACTTTTTCAGCCTCTGCAGGAGTCATGAGCTCCAGTTCCTTCCTGAGCCAGGAAGGTAACAGAAATGGGAAAAACTGGCCAGATGTTAAAAGCTCTTCATCACACAGAAATTTGCCCTTTCCATTGTTTAAAATGGCATTTTAGGCCTTTCATTTCTTCATTTACGATAAAACCATAGATTCAAGAAGTTTTCATAGATTCAAGTTCAGTTTTCTTCTGAATTTATAAGAAAAATAACAGCATGGCAACGACATAGTGGCAGTTTTTGCAAGCCGTGTCCTGGGAGGAGGACTGCCACCTGAGCCCGGCACAGCGCCAGCAGCGGGGTGGCAGAGGCAGAGGCCAGGCAGGCAAAGTGGGCTAACGGTCACTCACACCGAGTCTTCGAATGACGAAGCACCTGACTGTCGCCAGCAGTGCGCAGAGAAGCCTGCCCACTGTTCCCCCCACCTCCCCTCCCTGTGAGGGCAGGCAGGTGAGTTCAGGGAGAGAACAGGTCACCTCCGAGGGGTGGAGGGTGGGGACGCTGGTGGAGAGCTCTTCTGCCTGGGCCCTCTGAGAGTCTTTTTCTCCGAGTTAATCAGCCTCTTCCTCTCAAAATCCAAACACTTCTAGACAAGGGTTAGCTCCTGTGTCCCTGGCATCCTACTGAGATTTTGCCACCAGATCACCCTGCTATGCATTAGAGAGGTGTTTGGAGCCCAAAGGAGTTCCCTGGAGACTGCTGTCTTCCAGTGTCCGGGCTCCTCTCACAGTGGCAGAGTCTGCAGGGAGCACAGTCTCTCAGATGGAGCCTGAGCTCCAAAAACAAAGTTCTTTTACTTCATTTTATACCTTTCCAAAGGGACTGACCTTCTGAGCAAATACGTAAACATTTATTCATTTTCAACAAAATAATTAAAAAAATAAGTCTTCCTTGTCTTCTCAGAATAAGCTGTAGAATAAAAATGAAAACCATTCCATGAAACAAAATGAAAGATAAAAATTATATGAGCATGTCAATAGATGTAGAAAAAGCATCTGGCAAACTCCAGCATCCGTTTATGATAATAACTCTCATCAAAGTGGGAATAAAGGGAACAGACCTCAACCTGGCCAGTGTGGCTTAGTTGGTTAGCGCATCCTCCTGTAAACGGAAAGGTCGCAGGTTCCATTCCTGGTCAAGACACATGAGTGGGTTGCGAGTTTGATCCCTGGTCGGGGCACATGTGAAAGGCAACCGATCAATGTTTCTCACGTCAATGTTACTCTCCCGCTCTCTTTCCCCCCCTTCCCCTATAAATAAATTATTTAAAAAGGGAACATACCTCAACATAATAAAGATCAGGAACAAGATACAGATGTTCACTTTCACTGTAAGTCCTAGCCATAGCAGTCAGACAAGAAAAAGAAAAGGCATCCAGATTGGAAGGGAAGAAGTAAAACTCATTACTTGCAGATGGCGTAATACTACTTGTAGAGAACCCTAAAGAGTCCATCAAAAAACTATTAAAATTGATAAGTTCTGGCCAAGATGGAGGTGTAGGTAGAAACCCTTTGCTTCCTCTCCCAGCCAAAAGGAGGATAACAACCCATCTAAAATCAATAAACAACCGGAAGCACCAGAAAAATCAAACTACATGGAACTCTGACAACCAAGGAATTAAAGAAAAAATCAGCCAGAACAACCAGACTAGTAAGGCAGAAAAGCCGAGGTGAGGCAGCTGAGGGGCAGGGCTGACTGCCGAGCTCAGCGGAGCTGCACAGGAGGGACTGACTTAAGGGGAAAACTGAGACTCAGAACTGACTGTGGGCTATGGCTGGGGTTGCCACAGTGGGAGATAGTTCCAGTCTGACTCAAGAGTCTGTTGGAAAGTGCGCTAGAGACGAGGAGGCAAGCTGCATTGCTCGCTCTCTGGCCCCTCCCCCACAGGCAGCGCAGCAAGGAGGGTTGTCCTGCCTGGGGGAATACCTAAGGCCCTGCCCCCTTACAACTTATCAGGTGCACCAAGACAAAGAAATATGGCCCAAATGAAAGAACAGAGCAATACCTCAGAACTAAGTGATGAGGACATTGCCAACCTAACTGATGGAGAATTTAAAGCCCTGGTAATCAAAATGCTAACAGAACTGATTGAGCTTGGTCAAAAAGTGAAAGAACAAATGAAAAATACCCAAAATGAAATAAAGCAAAATATTCAGGAAACCAACAGTGACAAGAAGGAAACCAGGATTCAAAGCAACGATTTCAAACAAAAGGAAGAAATAAACATCCAACTGGATCAGAATGAAGAAACAAGAATCCAAAAAAATGAAGAGAGCCTGAGGACTCTCTGGGACAACCTGAAACATTCCAACATCCGAATTATAGGGGTGCCAGAAGGAGAAGAGCAACAGCAAGAAATTGAAAACTTATTTGAACAAATAATGAAGGAGAACTTCCCCAATCTGGTGAAGGAAATAGACTTCTAGGAAGTCCAGGAAGCCCAGAGTCCCAAAGAAGTTGGACCTAAAGAGGAACACACCAAGGCACATCATCATTAAGTTACCCAAGATTAAAGACATAGAGAAAATCCTAAGAGCAACAAGAGAAAAGGAGACAGTTACCTACAAAGGAATTCCCATAAGGCTGTCAGCTGATTTCTCAAATGAAACCTTACAGGCAAGAAGGGGCTGGAAAGAAGTATTCCAAGTCATGAAAGACAAGGACCTACATCCAAGATTGCTCTATCCAGCAAAGCTTTCATTTAGAATGGAAGGGCAGATAAAGTGCTTCCCAGATAAGATCAAGTTAAAGGAGTTCATCATCACCAAGCCCTCGTATGAAATGTTAAAGGGGCTTATCTAAGAAGAAAGATAAAAAAATATGAACAATAAAATGACAACAAACCCATAACCATCAACAAATGAACCTAAAAGAAAAACAACAAAAACAAAAATTAAGCAAACAGCCAGAACAGGAACAGAATCAGAGAAATGGACATCACACAGAGGAAGGTCAGTGGGGAGGGGGAAGGGAGGAGTGGGGGTAGGGAGGTACAGGGAAGAAGCAGCATAATTAGTAGGCATAAAATAGATAGGGAAAGATAAAAATGGTATAGGAAACAGAGGACTAAAGAACTTATATGTATAACCCATGGATGTGGACTAAGGGGAGCAGATGCTGGAGGGTGGGGGGGGCAGGGTGGAGGGGGAATAAAGGGGGGAAATTGGGAAAACTGTAATAGCATAATCAATAAAAAATACTTCAAAAAACTATTAGAATTGGTGAATTAAATAGCAGGATACCAAATACACAGAGATAGGTTGCATTTTTATACACCAATAATGAACTATCAGAAAGAAATGAAGAAAACAATCCCACTTACAACTGTATCCAAAAAAAAAAGCACCTAGGAATAAATTTAACCAAGGAAGTAAAAGACCTGTACTTGGAAAATTATAAGACATTGAAGAAAGATTAGAGATACAAATAAATGGAAGCATATGCTGTACTCATGGATAGGAAGAATTAACATTGTTAATATGCTCACACTACACAAAGCAATATATGAATTCAATGCAATCCTTATCAAAATACCAGTGGTGTTTTTTAAAATACCACTTATTTTATTTATTTATTTATTTATTTTGTACACACCCTGACCAGGGACTGAGCCCACAACCTAGGCATGTACCCCAAATGGAAATCAAACTGGCAAACTTTTGCTGTGCAGGACAACACCCAACCAGCTGAGCCACACTGGTCTTGGCCCAATGGCATTTTTCACACAACTAGAATAATCCAAAAATTTATATGGAATCACAAAAGACAAATAGTCATAGCAATCATGAGAAAGAAGAACAAAGTATCATGCTACCTGTTATCAAAATATACTACAAGGCTATAGTAATCAAAACAGAATGGTACTGGCATAAAACCAGACACATAGACCAATGGAACAGAATAGAGAGCCCAGAAATAAAGCCATGCCTATATGGTAAATCAACATATGACAAAGGAAGCAATGACATGCAATGGGGTAAAGATAGTCTGTTCAATAAACTGTGTTAAAAAAATGGGACAGATATATACAGAAAAAAGTGAAACTAGATCACCTTCTTACACCATATACAAGAATAACCTCAAAATGGATTAAAGACTTCAATGTAAGACTTGAAACCATAAAACTTCTAGAAGAAAAGATAGGCAGTAAACACTGACATTTCTCAAAACAACATTTTTTTTCCTAATATATCTTCCTAGGCAAAGGAAACAAAAAAAGAAATACAAACAAATGGGACTACATCAAACTAAAAAGGTTTTGCACAGCAAAGGAAACCATCAACAAAACAAAAAATCCTGAATGGGAAAGAATATTCACCAAAGATATATCTGATAAGGAGTTAGTATCTAAAATTTATAAAGAACTCATACAACTCAACACCAAAAAAACAATCCAAAACACCAAGAACTCATACAACTCAACACCAAAAAAACAATAAAAAAAAATGGGCAGAGAACCTGAATAGACACTTCTCCAAAGAGGACATATAGATGGCCAGTAGACATGAAAAGATGCTCAACGTCACTAATCAGAGAAATGCAAACTAAAACCACAATGAGATGTCATCTCACACCTCTCAGAATCAG